TCTGGCAGTTGAGGCAAAGATCCATACTACAGTCGATGCATCTAGACACAGCCCTCTTCTCTTGTTCACAGGACCCGCAGATCTTCATGTTGCTGACCTGAGCTGCCCTCTCTTGAACAGTGATCTCTTCAAGCAGGCCGACTAGATGAAAGTTGGTCTTCAACTTTGCCACACCCTCCCTGGGCAAATCAGATTTTTGATTGCAGATGGGGCACTGAATGGAGGTATTGGCAAAACTCCCGTGTGACGCATATTCATGTAATGTTACGAGGCACGCTTGGCAGAAAGTGTGCAGGCAGTTGAGTGCTTTTGGCTGCTGGTATCTCCCATGGCATATGGGGCACTCCAGAAACTTCCTGCTGATGCTACCAAGAACTGAATTTACATCTGCCATTTTGACTGTCAGGTTCCAGTGCACCTATTGAACAAACAACAAATGATGTTTTATTTAATCATTAGATAACTATGATTTGATAAGAGAGGGACGTTAAATAACAGTGGCCTCTGACTTGCTAATAAGACTCCAGGCAGTTTATTTGAGGATGTCAAAATCCCACAACAGATCAAATGTTGAAATCTGGAATCATTTCATTAAGGATGACTCAGCCTTGTTTGGAAGTTGTAGACCTGCATAAAACATGTTTGTGCATAAAACCTTCTTTGAACACCATGTGAACCAGATTTGCTGTGGGTTTTTTTTTTGTAGCTCAAAAACATTTCATTTATTTCTTGTTTATTTACTTTTTAAAATTGCCTTTCTTTTTTCCATTTTTTTGAAATCAATTAATGTATGCATTGTTTGTGGGGCCGGGGATGCATAAATGGTTTGACAAAATCATCTGCTTTCAAGTTCTGCAAAAAAGGTTTAAATTGCAGATTTAAGACAAGATTGGATGCAAATGACCATACCTTACAAATCTTGAGACAAATCCTGCGGCTCCTAATCTCTCTCCTTTGGATCCCAAGTCATCAGCTGAAAGTTCTTTAAGAGTCAATAAATAAGGAATAAGAAGGAATCTGACCGTAAATTTTTTTCACAGATACCACCCTCTTTGTGATTACGTGGTAATTTTTGTTTATGGGCTAATCCTCAGCGTAACAGGACTATGTTCACTGAAATGACCCAAAAAATTAGGCCAAAAAAAAAAAATTTGTTCTGCTTCTGATTACCCTACCTACCCATTTTGAAAGCCCCTACCCCAATTTTTTTATGTTTTATTTTTTTTTGGGGGGGGGGGGGGCAAAATGAGCACAAAACCAGAAAATTATTAATGACCGCCCTTGACTACATGCAGACACCTCCATATGACCGCACAAAACAAATTTGCCCCCCCCCTCAAAAAAAACCCTCCCTACCCCATTTTCAAATAAATCAGAATCAGAACTGATTAATGTTTTGGCCTTACCACGTTAATCACAAAGATGGCAGTTTCCCTGAAATGATCTATGGAGAATTAAGACACGTTTTCTCTGCATACATGTATGACTATAGTATGAGCGGGAAGTAAACACATGAACATGACGAGAGTGGATAACCCAATAAATGTGGCCAATTTACTGGACTACCTCCGTAAATGAGGCCACACTGCCACCATCTTAACTTGACAAGGGAGGGCATTGTTTTTTTGTAATTTTCCTTCTAGTTAGATATTTACATTTTGCAAGCCCACTCAAATATTAGCCTTCTCAAATATTAGCAATGAAAACACATCTATAGGCAGTTCCGCAGACGTCTACTTAACTTTGCATGTACTTTCCAGAGGAAATGTGTAGGCTTGCTCGTTGTACACGTTTGAGTGTACTAAATTCCAACATGGTGATGCTAACGTGCAAAAGCATGCTGGTACGTGACCTGCAGCATGTCATTACAAATATTGAGTGGCTCAGCGTGGAATGGGATGAATATTATCCCAAGGTAAAATCTGGACTTTTCCATTTCACGAGGCGAAGCCGAGTGAACTGGAAAAGTCCAGATTTTACTAGGTATGTGAACCTAACCAGTAACCACCACCATTTGTATTTCCAATTCCCACTGAAGCCTACAGGGGCGCATAAGGCAGTTTGAAGACTGTTTTTGTGGTGAAATCTGACGATTTTGATTTGGGGTACGAGTGAAAATGGTCATGAAAAACACGTTAATGGTTACCATATACGGCCACATACTTAGGACTACTATCATGACTATCGCCCGACCATGTCCAAATGTTAAAAAAGCAATCCGTAGAGTCCTAGTTACTCGGACTAGGTCAGGCTATCACTATATCAGGCATGCCACCATAATCAGTGTACAACAGTGCCAGCGTCAATCTATTCGGCACGGCATCAATCATCAAGACTAGTGTCTTGAGCCCCGCTTTCAACATGTTCAACGACGGATTCAGCACAGCATTCGCCACTGTGGTCAGACGGTGCTTGTGTTGGATTGTTATACCGTTCTTATTCCTCCATGGTTATACTCACTTTGTACTAAGTGGAGCGTTGAACTACGGTAGTTCAACGCTCCACTCAGTAGAGCTAGCAGTAGCACTACATGCTAGCAGTGGAAGAGCGAGGAAGGTTACCGGGAAACGTACCTGCCTGCCTGCATGGGTTTAATACAATTACAAGCCTTCTGAGCTCTGACTTACTTTTATCCGCACAATGCTCGTTTTTCACTCCAGTCCAAGTATATCCCGTGACAGTTCATCTACTACTAGTACTCTAGTAGTAGATAGTACACTACACGTATGCATGTAATTAACCATATGAAGCATTCCTCAGCAGATAATGGAAAGGGCGTTCTCATCAATGGTTATTGCACATTTGTTGAGCGGGAATTCCCCATGTCGGCACTTTCGGACAATAGGTGGCGCTGTCACGCCCCAACTATCGCATCGGTCCCAACTATAGTTGGGACTGTCCCAACTATAGTGCGGCAGTTGGGTCGGCCCAACTATAGTTAGGACTGGAGTTGCGCCGGATGCTTCATGCTTGATAGATCTTGTTGGATTAAATGTTCCGCGGCGCTAGCACCGTGTATTCGTCGTGCATGCATGCCGCAAGGCTGGCCGGTCACGTGGTACTGCCTAGTTGGATGAGTTGTCCAGCTGTTGGGTTGATTGTCCAGCAACATTTTGCAAAATTCAAAGATTGCCATGGCCGGCCAACTATAGATGGGCCCCACCCATAGCTAATGTCAAAGGTCCCAAGTAAAGTCGGACAGTATGTAACAGAGCTGTAGGGAATGTTTTATAGTCGTCGTACATCAATGTAAACTATAGTTGGGACCGCCAAATAAAAATATTGCGGTGGCCCATCAACTACAGATGGTCCCCACCCATAGATAATTTCATTGGTCCCAAGTAAATTCAGATGTGTATAGAGTTGTAGGGAATGTTTTGTAATCGTACAACAATGTACACTATAGTTGGGACCGCAAAATAAAAAGATTGGAGTGGCCCAACTATAGATTCGCCCCATCAATAACTAATTTCAGTGGTCCCCAGTAAAGTCAGACGTGTATCAGAGCTGTAGGGAACGTTTTACAGACTTTGTACATCAATGTAAACTATAGTTGGGACACCGCAAAATAAAAAGATCGGAGTGGCCCAACTATAGATGGGCCAGCCCAACAGTGGAACTTACAGTTGGGACCGTCCCAACTATAGTTGGGACAGGCCCAACTATAGTTGGGCCAGCCCAACTGTGGAACTACAGTTGGGACCGTCCCAACTATAGTTAGGACAGGCCCAACTATAGTTGGGACCGATGCGATAGTTGGGGCGTGACAGCGCTATTCGTCGTGTCATAGATGGTTATTTTGCACTATGATGATTACGCATCGCCAAAAAAGTGTCATTATGAAAAAGACCGCCCTGGGGGCTTGTACGGTTCCCCCTTATGGTTTTTTTTACAAACCCTGCCTGAAGTTCATGGCCCACATCACAATAGCAAAAAAAAATGAGGGCAAGCAAGTCGTGAATTGGCCGGCAAGGGCAATTTCGGGCCTATTTACTGACCCGCAACGACATTGCAGTGTATGTAGTGAGTATACGACAGACCGCGGTCGTACAATAAATGGTCGCCGCAATATTAAACGTTCATGTCGTCATATATTGCAGGATTCCTTTGACGACCCGACGCAGATTCACGCATGGCCTTTGGACGCCTGGGTTGCTTCGTTGCCGATGACGGTGTCCATGAAGCGGGCTGGCCGCTGACGGGTGCGCCGTAGCTCTTCCCCGCCCCCGTTCATGTTAGATGACGGCGACTAACGTTAACGGAAATGAAGCGATGAATCACAACCAGATAAACTTAAAATTTGTAAAATATTCCAGATGAATCCAGAATGTTCGGCACAAGTTGAGATGAGACAGTGCACAAATAAATAAAAAAAAAATGGCCGAACAGAAAAGTTTTCATTGGTATCACTTTTTGTCCTACTTGATTTAGTGAATATTTACTTAATTACATGTAATTTGTTCAATTTTGATTACTTTGACTAATATATTTTGGTTCATTATTTTTGATCAAATTTGGCTGTTGTATACGTGAAGTGGACTTAATTAGCCATGATGTTTTGTACCCCCCCAAAAAAAATAACACGACACCCGTGTCAAATGCAATCAAACAGAGGAATTAAACATTAATGTTCTCCAAAAAGTTAGATATTAGGTGGATTTTCTTTGACCCACACCTATAGGTAAACACTAAGCAGGCTGCAGACGAACGTCACCTTTAATAGATGGCGCGCACCAGTCCTGTAGTTCCCTTTAATAATCAACAGATCATCAAACTCTTTACTGTCCGCTCACCCATAGCATTATTATAATTTAACTTTGTTACAAGGTCCTATTGATGTACGTATTGTGGCCATTGCATTGGTAGATCAGTGTTATTTGCATAATTGCGTCCAAGGGGCAACTGCTGCATAAAAATTGGCCTTACACAGAGCTATTTAGACTGTATAGACGTGTGATTGTTTGGTTTAGACTGTATATTATAACTGTTCAGATACAATCGTGCAATATTGCGTTTCCTATACATAGTTGCCATTGTTGAGAGCAGCTGGCTGACGAATATTGCATTGGAGGACAGGACAACTGCAACATTGAACCAACTTGGAATCAGAAAATAAGGTAAGTTTGATATACAGGCCGACCCCAAATAAATGCAAGCCTACAACATTTGCCTTTAAAAAAAGAGGGATCGGTGGATTTTTATGTTCTGAGTATGGGATTAAAGGTGTGAGCTTTTTCTTTCAAATACTGAAAACAATCATGAAAATAGCACTTTGGGTTGCTGGGAAAATGCCAATTATGTAAAACTAGTCATTTTTTCATCCTGTACAAGCATGTCATGTCTATTCCCTTGAATCCCAGAAATATCGGAATGGCAACAGGCAAAAAGGCATCATCGCAACCCCTTGGACTGGAGCAGACTAACAACAGATGGGGGGTTATTGTCGTTATTGCTGCCCATTTAAACCTAACCATTCAGGAATGCGGCGCGAGGAGTTGTGATGTCTTCTTTCTGAGCTGGAGAGATGAGTTCGACACGAACGCTCAGGAGACTGCAGCCGTCCAAAGTATCTTGGCATCCGTCGCCAATTTCAGCAGTAAGTATACGAACGGGCCACTTTTCGGTGAATGAGGCCGCTGCAACAACGTACGTCATATTATTTTTACAAACAGATGTGAATACTAATTCTATAATTCAAAAATCCATTTTGACAATCTTTGATTTCTTTACCTGGAAGCAAAGTTCATAGATCGCTTAAATAATCTCATATTGCTGTTGGTGGCCATGCACAACATGTTCCAGCGCTCTTATTCTGTCAATCATACATCTACACCGTAGAGGTGTGAGTTATTGTGGAGTCATGGCCGAGCGGCAGCGGCGGCGGAACGGGTTTGAAACTGGGGGGGGGGGGGGGGGCATCACCAAAAAGGGGCACTTGCAAACCCGTGCTGAAATGTCGACACGTTTTTTTCACCGGACACTTGGCCTTTCATTTCGAGGGGGCACTTTAATACTCGAGGGGGCACATTTATGGTCGCAAAAGGGGCACTTGGGAAAAATTTTTTTTTGGGGGGGGGGGGGCAAATGCCCCCCCCCCCGGTTCCGCCTCCCCTGCCGAGCGGTTACTGGACTGCACCGGACTCAAACTCCGTGGTGTTTCTAATCAGCAGAGTGTGGGTTCGAGTCCCGGTCTTGACACTTGTGTCCTTAAGCAAGACATTGAACCATGATTGCTTCGTCCTTCGGACGGGACGTAAAGCCGTAGGACCCGTGTGCTGTATAATGCTCCCTAAAGAATCCAGTAACAAAGAGAAGGGGTTCGCCCCGGTGTTTTAGTGGCAGTGCGTTTATCTTAAGCCATAAGTCTGCACTTGTAAGGAAGAAGAAGAGTACAATTTTGCGGGGTCTACCCGATGTTCCCCAATACCTATGTTCCCCAGTAGGGTAGAGGTGGGGGCATTCATTTTCTTGACGGGACATAAATAGGTTTCAAACAATGAAGAAGCGCTTCTTTTTTTTATCATCGTGCGTCCCTTATTTACGCCACTGCATGTACACTGACCGAGTTTGGTTTTCCTGCCTGTTTAGATCTGATTGGCGGGTTTTTGAACAAACGCTTCGGCTGCAAATTGACCGGAGTCATTGGGGGTTTGCTGGCAGTGACCGGTACCTTCGGAAGCGTTTGGGTGCGAGACATATCTCAGCTGTACGTCACGGCTGCAATCGCAGGTATTTCAAATTCGGTTTCAGATATTTACACAACTTTCAGATATTCACACAAAGTCCCAGGTCAAAGTTGATCCGGAATTCGTTTCCTATGCGCCTGACACTTTCCTGGGTCAATGAATGACACTTTTCCGATGAGATTTGAAGGTTTGCATGGTGAAAGGGTAAGGCTTTCAGGCACCATATAACCCCACTTCACCGTTGGAATCCCTCAGTATCCTGACGACGGGCAGAACATACTGTCCGAAACGTTGAGTACCCTCCGGTTCTTTTTAGAACTCACAAAAGAGATTTTGCCATTTTACACTTTTCCGGTTCAAATGACCCGGAAAATGAGTCAAAGAAGTGTAATTATGACCCGGAAAAGTGTCATTTTGACTTGGAAAAGTATCAGGCCCAAGACCGGATTCCTGGTCAAGTCTGACGCGGGATATTTTTTTAGAGTGTAAGTTCCACTAGAAGCAATAAAGTCATCAATATAATAATTCAGCATGGAGGCATGACTCTCAAAAGTCAAATAATATTGTGTCTTTATAAACGGTGTAGCCTCTTTTAACCATAGTGTTAGGCTGCATCCGAATCAGTTGTCTAGAGCTAGGGTCTTGGTCTGTGCCCATTGAAAATACGCGGGGACATGCTGACAATAGACGTAGCCGTAGCTCTGGAAGCCCGTTTCGGACACGGCCTGAGTTAGCCCTTTGAAAAGCCTGAATTCCATTGGCGTTTGTAGTCTCTGCTCAATTCGCGCCGTGGCTTCACCCCCCAATTTCCTGTCAAAAGACTATCCTGCCTGTGTTTCCGTTTATACTGCAGGTGCTGGCCTGGGAATTACTGTCAACACCGCTGTGGTTGCGGTCGCGTTAAACTTCAAAAAGAGATACAAGACCGCCAACGCTTTGGCATACGCTGGCTGCGGCACAGGGAAAATGGCCATGCCGCCACTCATCCAACTCCTCCTGATGAGTTATGGCTGGAGAGGGGCGATGCTTATTATCTCGGCCATTGCTGCAAACATCGTGGTATTCGCGACACTTTTCCGGCCACCTCGCAAGCGCGTAAAAGAAGAACCGGATATCAATATCATCAATATCAGTGACAACCTCACTGAGGAAACGAAGGAAGATTTGTTGAACAGGCAGCTTCAACCCGTAATCGGAAATGATGACGTAGTTGAGATGGAATCAGCAACCGATGCTTCGTCTGGTGGTCTGGATATCACGTCAAGCTCCTCTGTGAAATACACCAATGCTGAAGACAGGAAATCAGGCGGCTACGAGTCTCTGCAAACCGGCCCCAGCGAGCCCAAACCGAAAGTCAGTTTCATCAATAAAGTGTCATCAGAGCTTGGACTGACTGTTTTTCGCAAAAGCTACCGCTACAGCCTGCTGTGTCCTCTTGCACTCACGGCCAGCATTTCTTACTTTGGTACCCCGCTGTTCATCATTCCACGCGCGCAGAGTATCGGTGTGGCGCCCTCTAGTGCCGCCCTTATACTCAGTATGAACGGCGTCGGTGGCCTGCTGGGTCGTCTTGCCAACGGACTGCTCATCAGTTGCAAGTTGTCCGCTGAGATCGTCTGCTCCATCTGTGCGGCTGTGGCCGGTGCGTCCTTGCTCCTCCTGAACCTTGACAACTACATTTGTTTGTTCGTCGCTTCTTTCCTCCAGGGCTTCTTTTCTGGTGTGATGTTTTCCATTCTCATTGTCCTGATCCGGCGTTACATTGGCTGCAAACAATTCTCTGTTTGTGTCGGCTTCTATTACTTCTGTCTCGGCATCGGCAGTTTGGTTGGACCTCTATTTGCAGGTATACAGTCAAAAGCTTGATTTTCTTATCAAACACCAGAGCGCCTTCAATGTGACATGCTTTGTTATTTTAATGTGTCGACTCACGCGTATCACAGGGTGGGTTCGAGTAGCTTGCTCGGAGCATAAAGACAGACGGGTTATCCATGACAGCCAGGCTAATCGAACGCTCAACATTGGGCCAACACGATCCTCACGTGACGCCCGTCGTAGCCACTGACAAAACGCCCGTTTCGTCCTGAGTTTTAGTTTGAAATTGACTGCTTTTCAGTCAATTGCAAAACTCAAAAAGTTGGGCTGGAACTATAGCCTCAAAAGTTGCAATGAACTCAACAAAATTGATTACCTTTAGACTTATACTTTTTAAGTCCACTTGAGATTTCCGCTGTCCGGCCGCCATTATTGTCCATTGCTTGGAATGAACAACACATGCGTGTGACGTATTTGCACCACTGACCGAGTCCACGAGCAGGGGTGTGGTGGCCTCCCCCAATTTAGGCACATAATAAAAACAGCGAAAATTTAGTTATAAAGTGCATGGAAAGTGCACCTTTAATCCGGATTGGTCAATATTGTGCATTTTTATTTTCTCATAGGTTGGCTGTTTGATAAATGGTCTCCCCAAATGGTCTTCCGAACTCTCCCTTTATTACCGTTGAGGGGGTACTTTTGCACAGAGCGGATAGAGGCGCAAAAATAACTCAAATGAGCGGTTGTTTTTGCAGTGGGTCGGACACGGGGAGGATGAATGGGATTTGAAATTAGCAAAAAACAAAAAACAAAAAAAAATAGCCAATTGTGCTATGCGTTCAACCATATCGGGCAAGGGTCATTGAAAGCTAGTTTGGCCGCGCGAAAATATAATTTGTTGAAAAGTACATCTTTAATCCGGATTTGCCGATAACTGTTAATTTTGTTCTCTGCCATAGGTTGGCTGTTTGATATCACCGAGAGCTATGAGACGATTTTCTACATACAGGCAGGAGTTTTCTTTGTCTGTTGCATCGGGATATGTCTCATACCTGTGCTGAAGCGATTAGAGCCGGGCATCGGTGTTGATTCATCAGATAAAAATGAACTTGCGAAATAAACTACACCTTCTCGGGAGAGTTTACTTCTGGTGGGTCTGGAAGTGCTGTAAACAGTATTATAAGAACCTTGAGACACAGGTAGGGCTGTTGAACATAATGAGCTTCAAGGGGCGTGGTTTGTCTCAGCCTGCATCTTTTATTTCTTTTAGACTAAGTAAGGGAGTTGAACACTATTGTTGATTGATCATTAAAGCATAATAATATAGTGTAATTTAATATAAAGGTTTAACAATGTATTATAGTATCAATCGATATAAAGTATAACAGAAGTCATTTACTCGCTTCGGTTACATGGGAAAAACACTCGAGAACTTGGACATGCATAACTTGCAGACTCTACAGCACATTCCGGAGAGGGGGGTCGACCAGTTAAACGTAAGGAAAAGTGGCTATTCGGTCTGGCAAATGTGGCTGTAACACAGAAACAAGTCAATGAGGATGAGAGTGGTCCATTACCTTTCAAAATAGGCCCATTTTGATCTTATCCTATTCCACTGCAGTTGGACACATGTATTTCACTCACCAAGTCTGAGGTAGAACCTCGGTTGCACTGAATCCTGCAAGGCTACCCTCCATATGTGGAACTGCAGTGTGTCCCCTCTCAGTACCTGCAGTGCTGAGGAAACGATGGAACATGTCCTAAAGGAATGCCGGCCCTCTTCAACGGTTCCATTATCCAAGGCACCATCTCAACTCCCCCCCCCCCCCCCCCCCCCCCCCGCAGACGGCCGGGCGGTGACATGGCTTTGAGAAGCACTATTCCTGAAAAACAAATAAAATATAAGTATAGGTATTTCAGAATATATATTGAAATTATCCTTGAGGCGATAATTGAGTAATGGAGTGGTTATGACCAATAAAATGTAGATAAAAAAACCTTGTATTTATGTAATGATGTGCTGTGTATATACAGCATATATATTATGCAACATTTATATCCATATATACACTTATAATCTCATACGGTGACCGGTTGTGCTTACTTTTGCCGCATTAGGGCGACCACCCTATTAACGCAAAAGTATTAGATAGCCAAATAATTAGGGCGACCACCCTATTAACACAAAATTACTAGATAGCCAAATAATTAGGGCGACACGGCATAACGCAAAAGAACTAGCTAGCCAAATAATTTTAGCGTCGCAAATTGGCTTAATCGATTGCTTTTGGTCCAATACGTAAAAATGCCAAAATTTGTTTGGGTCGGATAAGATAAAATTGGGTTAGGTCACATTAAAGTTTTGTACACATGTCTATGGCATGTCGTTCACCATCGACCATCGCACGACAGGTCTGACGATTTGAAAGGAAATCAACGGCAGCGCCGTCTGACGATGAGCCTGGCCCGCCCTTCCTCGACTTTCTGATATTCTACGCCGCAACTATAAAGATATACACATTTACAGTGTTTTTTTGTCTCTATATCCACGAAACGGCCAATACGTTAGTGCGAGTAGGCCCACAGGTCTAATTGTTGTGCTAATAGAGGGGCACTATGCACCATCCACTATCGATCACTATCGTCTTGGGCCAATATTATGAAAAGGTCAAACAATCGAATTATTTATATGAATTTCACTCTGAACCACTCAATATTGTACACAATTGCCTTGGACAATGACTATTTACATTTCCTGAACAGAGTCCACAGCAAAGATAAATTATCATGATTGCAATGAACCAAAATATAAAAAAAGTAATGCATATAATGATCGGCTCCCATATGCCACCAACGAACCAGTATGGCAGGAAGTGGCAGGACCTCAGTTGGGGCCCGTGTGCAGGACCAGCCGAGCCGATGGGGCATTATTGTCGTCGTTGCCGCCCACATGAACTTGGCGCTGATGGAAGGTTGTCTGCGTACTTGCAGTGTCTTCTATCTGAACTGGAGGAGCGAGTTTGACACAAACGCCAAGGAGACTGCGGCCATCTCCAGTATCATGACCTCTGTCTCCTGCTTCAGTAGTAAGTGCAAACTCGGTGTTTCATCATTGTGTTGAAACTGTTGATGGTATACAGTAATTTGCCGGCTAACATGAATATGTATGTCTCGGGTCAAAGTTAACGGACTTTGATTGGAGATCGTGTTATATACGAATCAGAAATTCTCGGCCGAAAATGTAAAGAAACACTTAAGAAATTCGCCACGGTTGCGTCAAGGCTGTCATCCGCCTCGACTTACCGTGCGGATGTTTACGGATGTGAGTGGGGTGTACGTACGTACGTGCAGACCAATCACAAGCAACAGTTGTTGAGGCTAACGGTAGTACAGCCACTGATCTCTGTGCGCGGCGCTGTACGTGTGCGGTAGCGGGAATAAGCTCGTTTGGGGAACAAGCTTGACAGCCTTGATCAAGGCTAAAGTCCACCCAATGTAAGCCCCAGAGCCGTATATAGAGAGAGTTGCGACATATAAGGGTCGCACTGTTTTGGAACCAAAATGTTTTTTTTCTTGCGAGCTCTTGGCCTCGGTCATCATACATACAGTGGTCATGATATTACATATTGAAAAGGCAAAAGCCTAGATCGGAGTCTGTTGAATCTTTTCGGTTTTATATATTTTTTAAGGTAAATCGTGGGCCGTTTATATATTTTTTAAGGTAAATCGTGGGCCGTTACTGTATAACCTGTATAATATAATTTGACTGCCTTTTAGTTCTGTTTTCTCATGTGATTATTTTATTGCAGTGTTTTTTGCCGGTGTGTTGATCCAACGCTGTGGTTGCAAGCTGGTCGGTATTATAGGAGGAGTGTTGGCAACGCTCGGTATGTTATGCAGCGTCTGGGTGCACAACATCTCCCAGTTGTACCTCACAGCCATTGTAGCAGGTATGATCCAGATGTTTGACAAAATAGGATGATCAACTATTGATCAAGCAACCTTTATTAAGGGAATAATGGTTGAAGGACCCATTCATCACTGCGTGATAATGACCGGGTTTGGGATGGCCGTTGTGAAAGGACCTTCGGCTACGTCCTTTAACCTCGGCCATTCCCCAGCTCGGTCATTATCATGCAGTGAAGAATGGGTCCTCACAATGTTATTCCATAAGTTTCGGCGAAATAAAAAATGCACGCATTTTGTGATTTTTCTTTCGGCGATATTTCCAGGGTATGCACTTCCTCTGTCATAGCGAAACAAATTACAACAATTGTTTTTCATATTTTCACCTTACAGAGGAAGCTGGAATTTCGTTTACATATTCCTTGCGTGTAGAATTACAAGATGCTTGGTTAAGAAAAAGTAAATATGTCCGTGGGCGACGTGTTTACAGGAAATATATCGCCGATCCACGTTTTCGTCGTAAACATCCGCAGTACGAACATGTTGTGTGAAGACTTATTTCACGCACCCATGGCAACTGTGTTGCATACGCGCGCGTATATATAACTCTTCACACCGTGGTTGAGCGCATGTGCACTGCTGTATACTGTTACAAGCTACCATAGGACTGTTGAACATTTGGACAACCATTGGCTTGCATGATGCTCGTTTTTGAAGCCAGTCTTTATATCACATTTTAATGCACCCCACGTGATCCAGTCTCAATCAGAAGCTATCAACTCTCCAAGGTATTTATTATATTGACATTCATTGATTCATAAGAGCGATTTAGAGTCAACCTGACCTATCTATCCATAGCTCGATTCATGTGTGCTGAATCGATTCCAAAGCTTTCAAAATGAATACTCCATTCATTATATTATACCCTGTGTTAACAGAAGATATCCAGAGAAATAGGTTCTTTAAAAGACCTTATGATCTAGCCTTCAGTTTTTGGTGGTGCAGGAGGAGGTTATTGACACTGGCAAACATGTACTGTTTCCGTCTACTCTATACAGGTGTTGGTCTTGGAATCACTACGAACACCGCCCTGGTCGCAGTTGCCCTGCACTTCAAGAAGGGATACAAGACAGCCAACGCTCTTGCTTACTCTGGTTGCGGTACGGGGAAGATGGCAGCGCCGCCATTAATCCAGCTTGTCTTGGACAGTTTCGGCTTAAGAGGGGCGGTGCTGATTGTCTCCGCAATCATGGCAAACATCGTAGTATTCAGCGCACTTTTTCGGAAACCTCGCACAGATTGGAAATCAGGACCGGATCACAGAGCAATTATTGATCAACTCACGGAGAGGCAGGAGGCGGATTTTCAAACCGTACATGCAAATGGTTTAGCTGAGATGGCTTCGGAAAGCGATGGTACATCGGACGATTCGGATGCTACGGTGAACCATGAGACACATGCCGAAGAAGGCCAATCAAATGTCTACACTACTCACAATATCAGCCGCCATGCATCGAAATTCAAACTCAATCCCATTCGGAAAATGTGGTCGCGGCTGGGACTCAGCGTTTTTCGGAAGAGCTACCGCTTTAGCCTGCTGTGTCTTCTTGCATTCATATCCACGATTCCTTATTTTGGAGCCGATCTGTTCATCATTCCCCGCGCGGAGAGTATTGGCGTGGCGCTCTCTAGTGCCGCCTTTTTGCTCAGTCTGAACGGCATCGGTGGCTTGCTGGGTCGTCTTGTCAACGGACTGTTCATCAGTTGCAAGTTGTCTGCTGAGATCGTCTGCTCCATCTGTGCGGCTGGGGCAGGTGTCTCAGTACTCCTCCTCAACGCTGATAACTACGTTTGTTTGTCTGTCGCTTCCTTCCTCCTGGGCTTGTTTACTGGTGTCTTTTACGCGGTTGCAATTGTCCTGATACGACGCTATGTTGGTTGCAAACGATTTTCCGTTTGTCTAGGTATCTACTACGCCTTTGTTGGCGCTGGAGGATTGTTTGGACCAGTAGCAGCAGGTAAAAAAGGACCTCAGAGATGATATTTGAATGGGGTTTAGAGAAATATCTGCTGAAGTTCAAGCGGCGCAGAGAGTTTTTGACAAGGCCATCTTGACTATAGGTTTTTGACAAGGCCATCCTGGCAGAGCGCCAGGCATTTCGACTGACCAGCGAAGCCACGGCGCGAATTAAGCGAAAAACTCTCGAAATGAGTGACCATTGTACCGATGTCTTTCTCAGTTGGTCATAATTTCTCCCAGGCCCCATTTTAAATATTTTTTTTCACGTCTTCGTTGGGAAACTATGTCAGCACTAAAGAAGCAAAAAAGTCTGAAGTCAAGATGGCCTTTCAGCTGTGTGACAGGTGCGATATTACATTGCTGGTCAAGTTTTATTACATTTACTGGTCGATATTACATTATTGTTCAATTATTACATTACTGGTCATAACACCTGTGCGCGCGGTCAAAACTAAAGGCGACGCGATGTGTGCGCAGTGACGTGCATTTTTTTAATCATTCTACGCTCCCATTGCTGATTTTATGCTTGCAGTCAGTTTCCCCTGGCAAAGCCGCCAAGTGTTTTGTTAGCGCACATGCACATATTTCTTGTGGGCAAACTATTTGCATGATATTTAAAGTATACATAATTTCCAGCGCGTCCCAAAATACCCGCAACTTATATTTGCGAGGCTCTAGCGTCGGCGCGGAAACACGTACCGCCAATATTTGTATATAATTTTAAGCTGCAATCTCAACTGCATCCCTGGCGAGTATTGGTTTCATATTTAAAAGCCTTTTAAAATTATTCGTGTTCAAATAAAGGTATTTTAAGGGCAATCGATGATGCGGTACAGCAGATGCAAACTCGAGTCAACAAGCTGTTGAAATAACAACAAAAATAACTTCATTTATATTACAAATACTTTGAACTTTAAACGAAGAACAATATTGTGTATTTATTCATTGTGTATTCTTCTTGAAAGTAAAAGGAAACACATGACTGTAGAAGACGAGATCGTCACATCGTGAACATGATGAAGCATTTCCACATAGTAGAAAAAATGCGCACGATTGATTTTCCTTGAAACCGGTTGAGTTTATTTTTGATATGCCTTTATTTCAACACGGATAATTTTAAAACCCTTTTGAAAATCAAACCAATACTTACCATGAATAAAGATACGATTCCAAGCTTTAACAATTATATACAAACAATAGCGGTACGTGTTTCCACGGCGACGCTACAGCCTCGCAAAAAAAGTTGCTGGTATTTTGGGGCGCGCTGTATATGGCATTGCATTTTATGAATCAACAACGACCTAGATAAATCGAAATCAAAACACCTCGTGACTTCTTCACACGGCCTGCATGTTTAGTCTTTGCTCAATGCATTCCAAGGCTTTGCAGCTTTGTGTCTCCAGTTCAAATCCTATATAGCACTTTTCCAAATGATTTTTACGGTGATTTGTTTGATCAAAATTGAGGCGCGAAACTCCTTTGGGAGATGAGTTTGATGGAAAACCTTGCAACAGTGGTTTACTGCTCAAATTGATGTTTTCCTCATTCTCACATACAGGTTGGGTGTTTGATATTTCATACAGCTACAAGACGGTCTTCTACGTGTTGGCAGGTGTTGACTTCATCTGCTGCATTCTGATGTTTCTCTTTCCTGTACTGAAGCGAGTCGAGCCAGGAATTGATGATCATCAAACCAATGAAGTGAACTAACTGAATTGTATGGAGTGCTAAAAAAAAGTGTAATCAATTAGACAGCTTTGTATGCGAGAACTATATACCGCAATATCACTATTTTTACCAAAGGTCAATGAGTTCCATGATGCCAGAAATTTCCGGCTTCACTAACGCAGAGTTCGAGATGATTTGTGGAGAAAAGATGGGTTCCCAGTTTAGAATGCTGAGCTGGAATGATGAATATAAAAACCACTTTTGAATGGATTCCACTTTTGGTGACCATTGAAGAGCACTATTGACAAAGAGAGCATTTTTGTGTGTGTTGAATCTGCAGGGATATCAGCCTTTGTAATACTAGCGGTGGCGAGTCATGTTTGTTTAGTCTTTACATGTAAAAAAAAAAAATAAATCATGAGTGGCCATAATTTGTTAACAAAATACATGAACAAATTAACTATGACATTGTTTCAGTCGATCCCCTGTGGTGAAATTTATAAGGACAAGAGTATTCAGAGACGGGAAAGTTTGTGGTGCTCTAATGAAAGCCACTTAACTTTTAAAGTGGAGTCGAGTCATTAGTTTGGTTTACACGTGTTTTTATTAATGTGTTGTCGACTCGAGTTGACTGCAAATAGGTCATAATTGAGACTTTTAGATGAGACTGAGATTCCGGATCAGATGCGTTCGAAATACTTTTCTTTCAATTCTTTCAATGTGAATACTGACTTCAGTTTCTTTCATTCACCTAATTTGAGAAAAAAATAGGATAACCAGGACGCCCTTATTTGCAGACTTGTAAAGGTCATCAATTCCTATAGCTTACTCATCATTGTCCAAATTTAATTCTTTTAGGCCTATATTAAAAACGTTGTGGATGCATGTTTTTTTCCTCAATAGTTTGTACCTTGAAATGAACTGCCCATAACTACTCATATTTAGACACATGGATAAATCTAACGTGAGATACAAGAACATCGAGTAATAACAATATGGTGCTAGCAATCACGTGAGAGCGTACGTGTTGTTCAATTAAACAGAGAGTTCTGCAACGACGGCCCTTGATACCTGAAGCTAAAGGACCTTCCCCATGCTTGGAACTAATTTGGTCGTGAAATCATCATGACTGTAAAACGAGATGAATTGTGATTAGGAATTGGAATATTAGAAGAAAATAAAACGAATAACACCAGCCAAGGGGAAACAGCTTACTCACTTTTCAACAAATAAATCCAACTGCTCGCGAATTTAATGACCATTTAATCTGGTCACATTAGGCAGAGTATGTCCTCTAGACATCAACAAAGAACGCAACAATTACGCAACAATGAGATATGATAAGACGGCAAGCATGGACATTTGCTATCGGCACCAAACCAATGTTTCCCCGTGAGTATAATGGTTTTATCATTTACGTGATAAAATGTCTTTTAAATACACATTGGGCCATGACTGATTACATCTCGTGAACACCGTCCATAGCAAACATATGAATGATAATGAGTGTAAAAGAACAATAATATAAAAAAGTCATGAATACAATCATCGGCTCCATATCCTTCCAGTGAACCAGTATGGTAGGAAGTGGCAAGACCTCAGTTGCTGCCCGTGTGCAGGATCAGCCGAGCCGATGGGGCATTGTTGTCGTCGTTGCCGCCCACATGAGCCTGGCGCTGATTGCATTTTGTCAGAGCTCTGGCAGTGTCTTCTATCTGAGCTGGAGGAGCGAATTTGACACGAACGCCAAGGAGACTGCGGCCATCTCCAGTATCATGACCTGTGTCTGCAGCTTCAGTAGTAAGTGCTTATAATCAGTGTTGATCATTGTGTTGCATCATTGTGTTGAAACCATTGATGACTATTGTTCCCCGGATACATCCGGATACCGGATATATCAGATTCGAACCGGCTGGCCGCGGCAAACCAAGCAAGCTCGGTGTAAGCCTATGAATGTTTTTTGGTCTTGACCTCGGTAAGCATTGCGTTTTTACAGTGGTCATGAGATTGCATCATTGAAAGGCAAACCCTTGATTGAGTCTGTTGATTTCTCCCCGTTTTATAAATTTGTTAAATAAATCGTCGGCCGTTACTGTATGACCTGCATCATATAATTTGACTGCCTTTTAGTTATGTTTTCTCATGTGATATTTTGTTTCAGTGTTTGTTGGCGGTGTTATGATCCAACGCTGTGGTTGCAAGCTGGTCGGTATTATAGGGGGAGTGTTGACAACGCTTGGTATGTTAGGCAGCGTCTGGGTGCAAACTATCTCCCAGTTGTACCTCACAGCCGTCGTAGCAGGTATGATAAAGATGTTTGACGAAATATATAATAGGATGATCAAGCATTGAGCAAACGGCCTTGTACCTTGTACCTTGTAGATTAAAATCCTGAACGGTCCAACAGGGACTAAACTGGAAGTTGATGAGAGTGGATTGATGCCTATAATGCCTTTTTGCCATTTCTTGAGCAATAAGAGCGCTTTGAAGCAAACCTGATCTATCCATCCAGCTCGGTTCACGTGTGCCAAATACAACCGAATACCAGTGTTGTAGTCTAGTCCATAATGATCTCCTGACAAGTCCCCAATCCAAATTCAATGCATTAACTTAACATGAATTGTTACAAAGGCGTTCCTTTGAAATTGCCCATCCCTTGTTACTTGTGCCGGACCCGTTATTGGACCTGGGAATCCTTGTGACCGCACTTTGTGATGGATTTACTACAACATAAACCCCTGCCACTCAATAGATCCCAGTCATGTATCCTGTGTTATCAAACGATATCCTGTGAACTAGGTTCTTGAAAACGACCTTATATTTTCGTGAGGGATGCCACTGACCATTGTAAACATGTAATGTTTCCGTCTACTCTACAGGCGTTGGTCTTGGAATGGCTAAGAACACTGCGTTGGTCGCTGTCGCTCTACACTTCAAGAACGGATACACTACAGCCAACGCCCTGGCGTGCTCTGGTAGTGGTACAGGGAAAATGGCAGCGCCGCCATTAATCCAGCTTCTCCTTGACTATTTTGGCTTAAGAGGGGCGTTGCTAGTTACCTCCGCAATTGTGGCAAACATGGTAGTATTCGGCACACTCTTTCGGAAACCTCGAACAGATCGGAAATCAGGACTGGATCACAGATCAATTGATAAACTCACAGAGATGACAGACGTGGATTTTCAAATCGTACACGCAAATGATGCAGTTGAGATGGCTTTGGAAAGCGATAGTTCGTCGGACGATTCAGATGCTACAATGAACCATTCAGAGACACACACAAATATAGAAGAAGGCCAATCAAATGTCTCATCTACTACTCACAATACCAGCTTCCGTGCATGGAAATTGAAACTCAATCCCATTCGGAAAATGTGGTCGGGACTGGGACTCGGCGTTTTTCGGAAGAGCTACCGCTTTAGCCTGCTGTGTCTTCTAGCATTCATATCCGCGATTCCTTATTATGGAGCCGGTCTGTTCATCATTCCTCGCGCGGAGAGTATCGGCGTGGCGCTTTCTAGTGCCGCCTTTTTGCTCAGTCTGAACGGCATCGGTAGCTTGCTGGGTCGTCTTGTCAACGGACTGCTCATTAGTTACAACTTGTCCGCTGAGATCGTCTGCTCCATCTGTGCGGCTGGGGCCGGTGCCTCAGTACTCCTCCTCAACGCTGATAACTACGTTTGTTTGTCTGTTGCTTCCTTCCTCCTGGGCCTGTTTACTGGTGTCTTTTACGCGGTTGCCATTGTCCTGGTACGACGCTATGTTGGTTGCAGACGATTTTCCGTGTGTCTAGGTATCTACTATATCTGTGTTGGCCTTGGAGGACTGTTTGGACCAGTAGCGGCAGGTAATACAAGTTCCTCAGCTTAGCTATTTGAATGGGGCATAGAGGATTATCTGCTGAGGTTTATTGCCCCAGAGAGATAGGCTTTTGACAAGGCTATCGTGACTGGGCCAAGGCATTTTGACTGACCAGCGAAGCCACGGCGCGAATTCAGCGAACAATTCTCTTAACGAGTGAGCAAGTCACGACGCCTTTTGCATTTGGTCAGAATTACCTCCCCTTTTAAAATATAATTTTTCTACAGTTTTTGGTTGGGAAATTACGTCAACATTAAAGATGTAAGAGAGAAAGCTGAAGTCAAAATTGCCTTTCAGCTGTGACAGGTTGAGCAGGCTCCCCTTCGCGCGGTAAAAACTTGGTAAAGTGCGATAATGCCTACTCGATGTTTGCAGGCCGAGTGACGCTCCACGTGGCTGCTTTTATTCTTGCAATAAGTTTCCCCTGGCAAAGCGCCAAGTGTTTTGCTAGCGCGCAATCCCGCGCATGCACAGATTTTTTTCTAGGGAAATGTTTTGCATCATATGTTTAAAATAATCTATGGCATTGCATATTTATGAATAATAATTCAACAACGACCGTGCTAAATCGAACTTCAAAAGGCCTTGGGACTTCGTCACTCGGCCTGCACTGTGCTGTCTTTGCTCAATACGTTTCACGGCTTTAATTTGTCGCTCAGTGTCTTTAGTTCAAAATCTCAACACATGTAGCACTTTTCCAAACGATTTGTACGGGCATTTTGCTGGCCAGAGTATTTGGGCGATTAGTTTGACGGAAAAGCTTACAGCAGTGATTTACTACAGCCATTGATTTTTTTTCCTCTTCACTCTCGCAGGTTGGGTGTTTGATATTTCAAACAGCTACAAGACGGTGTTCTACGCGTTGGCAGGTGTTGACTTCATCTGCTGCATTCTGATGTTTCTCTTTCCTGTACTGAAGCGAGTCGAGCCAGGCATTAAGGATCATCAAACCAATGAAGTGAACTAACTGATGGAGTGCTAAAGCATAATCAATTAAGACTTTTTTATGCGAGATCTATATACATGTACCTGAAGGTCAATGTGTTTGTCAAGTCTGTCTCTAAAAATACTTCAAGACTACAGAACTGCATATTCACATTTTTGGTAAACTTGAACTGGAAAACGAAATGTAATGTGATTACGAATTGTAGTAGAAACAAAACGAATAACACAAGCCAACGAGAAACATCTTACTCAAATATTATTTAACAAATAATTCCAACTCGGACCATTTAATGACCATTTAAGCTGGTCATGCTTTAGGCATATTTAGAACTTGTCGAAAAAAATGTCAGCGTCCTCTTTAACGAATCAGAATTCATGACTTGTTTTAATCACAGGCCGCTTAAACGTCGAACTTGTACTTTTTCTATAATTCATTTGGTAAGCATTCGACACAATTACTTTACACGTCAATCTCGTGTCGAATGTAATCCACTCGTACCGTGCAAGATGGCGACTAGGAGTTTGGGAGTCCCCGAAGAAACGTTACCTTGCTCTTGCGCATTGTGAAACACTACATGAGGCACAAATACATGTGGTTGGAATCGGTCCGTAGTAAGTTGTGTTAGACACGGCAGAAGTTCATCGTGCCAGAAGATCGGCAGAGTCTGTCGAACTTCTGGTAGAAATCCGCTGGGCAGTTACCTCAAAGGTCGAATCAAACTGCTAGACACTGCAGAAATTGGATCTGTAAAGTGGACTTCCCGTTACTTGGGCCAATCTATGAAATATCCCCTTGCAATGCCCCTTGCACAGCAAGGGTCTATAATATGCGAGCAGATTCGGCGATTAATTATACAACTGCGTCTTAAGCTTGACCTCGAAATTTTGACCATCAGTGTGCGCTTTCTATATCGGGTCTTCAGTAACCCGTTGTATTACAAGAACATGGCACCCAAATCGACCAGTCATCAGCTTAGTCCACATTTCTGATCGAAATGTCTAAATTCGGCTCCGACTGGCTGGCGCGCTGGGTCGCATACAATTTTCAATGTTATATCAGGATATAATGGGATATTATCAGACGTTCGACCGTGGTTTTCTGCACACTAATGCCTCATGCCATTCCTCATCAGGCGCGGATCAAGAGGGGGGGGGTGTCCAAAACAAAATCCCAGCTAATTGTCAATTTTTTTCATAGAAATTCCTTAAAAATAAATCGAAACCCCCACCCCCTGCTCTGACACCAAAATAAATTATATTTGTAATAACGTCCGCCTGTGCACAAAATACGGTTAGAGCCACCTTGGTTAGGGGGGTATATGTACAGCATTCTGTAATAATAGCGTTAATAATCGTCGGATTTGAACAGCGCCCCCATTGAAAGTATGGCTCGAGCCTTCCCCCCCCCCCCCCCCCCCCCCCCCCCCCCCCCACCTATTGATTTCCGAAGGCCAAGTGTCCGGAGAAAAAAACCTGTCTGCATTTGAGAAAGTTTTGCAGGCTGATGAAACCTCCCCCCCCCCTGCAAAAATTCCTGGATCCGCCCCTGGTCATAATACCTACTCAGTGAGTGGCGTATAAATTCCAATCTATAGGGGGACATATACATGCTCTGAAGTAGGGGGACTCCAATGATTAATAAAAAGCACCCGTAAGTTCCTGAGGACAGGGTTAGCCACAGGTCTCGAGGCCGGGGGAGGGAAGACCCCATGCCCCGCCCCTTAGTTACACCACTGGGTTTACTCCGTCAGCGAAGCTTTATTGTGTAAAATAAACAATTTAAAAAGATCTATTAAGAAATGTAAGATTTATATTTTTATTTTTAAATGACTGGTGTAATTGGAAAGACCCATTGGTGCCAATGTAATAAGCTGGATCGATATCGATTGCGTTTTATGGTTTTCATGCTCGGCCTTGAATACAATTGTATGTACATGTTGGTATCTTGCGTAGCCCCCGAGGTCAAAGGTGTCTTATCCGATTATTGGTGTTACCCGCTATATGCCGGGCCAGAAACATGGCCGGGACTTTCCCGAAAAGAACAGACGGCTGTTTATTGATGATTTATTTTATCATTTTCTCCCTAACCAACGAAGTATGGAAATAAACGGAAACTTTGCTTTTACAAAGAAAAAGGCGTTCACTGAAATCTGTCCTCAATTTCATCTGGTGAGAATGTTTATTTCGTCAAGTAATCAATTTGTTGAAGACAGCAACTTGTTGTAAAAAAGTGTAACTAATGCAGATTTGATTGACCTCTAATAATCAGAGGCTGAATTTTCAACGCATAGATAAACTTGAACTTTTCTAAGATTTCTACAAGTTAAAACCGATTAAAATTGTGTTTGTATGCCCGAAATTTCGTGCCAGGCCATTAATTTCGTGCAAGTCAAAATTCCATTTTGCCGCAAATTTAGTCGTCACTGTTTATTTTGGCTAACCTTGGAACAGTGTTTTGCCCATTATTTTTACAGTGTATGGATTTACGAAGTGAATGATTTGTTATTAAAAATGTTCATTTCTCAAAGGTAGCTCTGATCTTGCTACTTGTGACGCCTTTTGTTGGATGAACGGGAGGTTTGCTGTAAAACCATGTGAATGAAAGATATCTCTAGTCTTAGTGAGGTGTGTGGTTCTGGGAAGAACCATGTTAGTTTAACTCAACGTTTCGAACAGTACTCTGCTCGTCATCAGGAGGCTGTCTCCTGATGATGAGCAGAGCATACTGTTCGAAACGTTGAGTTAAACCAACTGGTTCTTCTCAGAACCACACTGCGAGATATCTTTCATTCTCATGGTGTTAGCGCAAGCCTCCCATTCATTGATCATGTCCACCATGCAAACCCTCAAGTCTCATTTTGTTGAGTTGAGTCACATAATGTGCAAACAAAAGTTCAGGATCTCATGATTAGTTCGCACATGAACTGTTCAATTAATTTTTTTTCCAGCTAGATTTTTTTCTGACTTTGCTGGGCTGAACTGTAATCCGGTGTGGGTTTATTTAGATTAGTGTGGCCTTATTCCACACGGAGTTCATAACACCTTTCTCATGGTCTGGTGGCATGAAAAGCGCTTTCACTGACTGCCTGCATGCCTTTCAGATCTTGCCAGTTTATACTTGTGCGATCTCTTTCACAAAAGAACCCGTTTTTCTTCAAGTGAACAAATAGAGCCTACCGGGTAAGCGATTATGTATTATCAATGAGGCAGTCTGTCCCACCGCGATTTTTTAGAAACATTGTGTGTACCCTCCACGAGTGTGTGCTTGCTTTTGTGATTGTCTCGCTGTGTACACTGACTGCGCTACTTGACAACGGTACATTTGCACCCGGAACTGCATGGTTCAGTGCGAACGTATGTATACGTGCGTAGCCTATATTTCTACGTTGACAACCAGGTTCGGTGATGGAAGTATTTTGGCTATTTCTGGTATAGCTGATGTTGAAGTTACGATGCCTGTGCTGTCACTGCTGTGAGTCAGTGTGGTGGGACGAATTGATTTATTGTCGGTATACACGGAAGATAGCAAGCAACTGGTCCATAGCATCAAGCCTTCAAGGTAAGTTTGTTTTAGCGTGTCCACTATCCTAGTTGGGGCCATATATCACGACTATAGTTACGGACTATATAGTGTCTCAAACTCGGATCGATTTAATATTGTGTATAGGTTGTGATAATTGCTGTGCAATTGCGTACAAATGTATCCACAAACTTTCTCAATTTTTACTACCCACCATATTGTAATACTTCAAATCACGTTCTTCTCTTTTGGCCACAATAAATAACGCTTAATTATGGAATAATTCTTGTTACGAGCGAATTGAAGTCCATGGGGTTACGACCAAAGATAGAAATTGCATGTATGAGCTTGATTCGTGGATTTTGCCTGGAGAAAAAAAAGTACATCAAGTTTAGTCGTGAGGAAGTTCTGAAATCCTGGAATAGATAAACTTAAATCCTCTTGAAAATGAACGTTCTTCAGCCTTGCTGAGTATGTCGGAGATATGCAGATTTACAACGCAGGGGGCCGGGTTGAACACTCTAAATGGTGCGGGGAGGGCTTTTTCTAGAAGGCATACAAGTGAATGTTCTTTGCACAGTCTCGTTAGTGTTTCAAATTCCATTGCTGAAACCCCAGGGAAATACTGAATGCTGAAATGAAGTTAGGAATAATTCTTATGCCGATCTTTAATGCCCTGCATGTAATCAACTTTAATCCGCATAAGAATAGGATCAATTTACTTTGCCGCGTGAGTCTATTGTGTAGCCTTATATAGCGGTGCACGGTTACAGCAGTCATATAACCAGAAATATCCGTTTGCAGTAAATTTAGAAGCGGTATCAGAGTTAGAAAGTACTTTTCACTATGTAAATTCTCGAAAAGTGCATGTAGTCCTACACTTTTAGCTCAGTTTCTAATTTATACACTTGAGAGAGAAAAAAACACTTTTTTCTTTTACTTCTCAGAAAATCCAGCATATTCTGCTATGGTTCTGTCTCATTTTGAACGGAGGTGTTTCGACTTAACGCGTAGATTATACGTGCACATACAGACATATAATAGATTATGTGTGAAATATAATAGATTATGTGTGAAATATAATAGATTATGTGTGAAAATACTGACAGATAAATACGACCATCTTAAAAATTCATGTTGCTATTGACGGATTAATGAAGTGATATTGAAGATACCTGTATCATATTAATTTCGTATAGTGCAATATCATCTGGCCTCACAGCGAAATCCTAAAACCTGAAAACCTTTAAAAACCAGTATTTAACTTGGAAGCCTACTTAATGTAGGCCTAACTATAACCCATAAAAACCTGCATTTTGTAATTCTGCCATGTCATTTAAACACTCTTTAATCTTTTTTTTATTCAATTTGACCCACAGTTTAGTTTAATATCATAATGCCAAAAATAACCACATTGTCAATATACCTCTAGGCCTATAAGATTTTCATTACAAGTGTTCCAGAATTGAGCAGTTTGCATGACGTCTAGGCGGTCTGACCTAACCGTATGCACATTATAGCAGTCAGCTAACAACACAATTTGCAGTATTTCTGCTACTAAGTGCATCCTATAAAAACAATAAATGCTTATATTTTGGCACTTGGAAAACATTAAAATACAAAACTATGTTATGATTTTTAAACCCTATTAAAAACATATTGATGAAGAGCGGCACTCTGAGGCCTGCATCATTTTAAAAGAGGGAACTAACTACGAACCTAATACATTTGAAAAATTGCTTTTGAAAAACTCACAATTAGCAACATGATATACAACTCAATTTCGTGAGGTGATCACTGTAGTTATAATTGTGCATCTTTAAATCCATAATGTTCAGACGTCGTCTCAGAAATATTCAACTTGTGTTTCTTTCCCTCGTAATTTTTTTTCACCCGACCAATTTTCAATTGGCAGACATTACGCATGCGTAATGTACAAGTGCACCACGTTAGGGGCCGCGCCACGTCAGGGTACATCAACAATATATTACCCACAGATACAAATTTACCCACAGATTCAAATTTGTCACAAATAAGCATCGACACACCACACTACTGAATCATGATGCTGCGTTGTCGTCTGTCCATCAAACCTCACTGCCTTGTTCAACTGTTCTAGATCAGATATAAATAAAATCAACGACACGAGAAGATACACGAGACAGAATTGTGTATGTGCTTGTACAATGTCAAATCTGATTAGTGTGGGTTTGTTCTGCAAGTTTGCCCTTTGAATCCAGGTCGGTTTGGTGACAAGTGTAAACAGGGATCTTTAAACAGTGAACATACGAAAAAATAACACTCCAAAGATAAGGTCGATACTGATGCTTACCCAATGCAAACTGTACCGCGGTTCCCATTTCGTAAAGAAATATGTAATCCAACAATGGTGGCTGACATGCACGTGTTATTAAAATTGATGTATACACTTTTAGTTGTAATTCATTTCGCTTTGGCAGAACAAAAAAAAATAAAAAAAAATTGGAAGAAAAGGGATGATTCACTAATTCTTTCACAGCAAATAAGAAATTGTTTTAATATTCTTAGGAGCTGTTTTGTTTATTTAATATCTGGAAGTTTAATTGCGATGTTAGATCTTGCGTGGATGTGGACATTGCAGTTACCAAGTACAAACACAGCTGCTTCAATGATAATATCCAAACCCGTGCAATTTAAGGTTGAAGCTAATGGGCCATTATTCGTCCTACACAGCCGCGTTCCCATTATGGCTCTGTGACGTTAACCAATGACTTATAAATCATTGTCTTTAGCCTTTGGCTTTTGGACAGTCGTTCGGAGTTGTGCAATTGTACTCGCGAATGATAAAAATCATGTTAACCCATCGTTTTCTGATTAACCCAACTTTGGGTGCGACGCTTTTATAATGGGTGTCGAGTATCCCCATTAGCTGCGTCGTATCACCGCCAGTGAATATAGCTGTATTCCCAAACGGTCGTTGCACGTGAGCACCATGCAGAGATTTCATACGGTATGATTCTAAAGTTACTCTTTTACTATTAACCTATCGCGGTAGAATCGCGTCAACGCAGCTCGTGAAATATTGTTCAATTACATGATAGATCAATGGACGCGGAACGCGCAAAATCTGAGACAAATAAAAACTTAACGTACAAAACTCCATAGGGTTGTCTGAGGCGCGTGGCTAACTCGCAAACGCCGATAGGTCAATTATGTTGATGTTACAATTATATGCACGTGTTCTATAAAATCGTGAGTCGCTGTCATACTTGCATCACGCAAATAACAAGCTGACTTGCTGACTTGGTTCTAATTGCACAGTTCGTGCGCGCAGGCTATATGAAACGTCCTTATTTTGATGTTGGAAAGGTAAGGTTGCACCTTTGCAAAATTGTAGTTGTTCACACACGTTTCTATTTCAAAGACTCGATATATATTAGGATTTGCTTCTAAGTTTATGTTAATATTTTGGTCGATTGATGTTCTTTTGGCCGCCTTGTTGGTATTATTGTGCCCTGGCAGCAATTCGTTTTAGTTATGATCTTTCAATTTAGGTTTTGCCCTTCACCGATGTATTTTTATAAACACTGTATACTCGGTGTTGCCCCCGACTGAATAAATTTTCTCACAATCACTCAAGGGAAGACTAGGTACAGTGTTTAGAAAAAAATTCGGTTTAAAGACATTAATACCCCTATGCCATTCCCATCTTCAATTGCGTTTTAGTCCTTTAATTAGCCGAGGATCATCTTGTTATTGGGATTGTCGAACCGAAATGTTTGTCCTATTATCCATCTGACTCGACATGTTCTCCAATATTCCCAATTCAACACTCACACCCAATAGCTACAATCCTGTACACGACTCCTGCCAAAAGTCACTGCTAGATACTTAAATAGGCGCAGTGGCTGGCAACGGCCATTCAATGGCCCATCCTCAATTGCTGTTTCGCTTTTGTTGCAGTGAATTTGAATCATTGTCCGCTTCCGCGGTAAAATCGATAATACTATATAGAAGCTTTGTATCGCGTGTATCGGCATGTGAGGTCGATCAGAGTGCTGTACGCTGTGCACCTTGTCGGTGATATGTGGACGTTCACGCACCTGTGAAAGAAATGGTGTGTCGAAACAGTCGATGGATATTACATATACCCTTGAAGACAAAATGTAACCACCAGTGCATTATATGAACTATCAATTCACAGGTAAGGATGATGAAATTGTGGTGAACTATTGGGGTTACACTCGATTGGGCATCCACTATGCTTGCGCGGTGTAGGCCTACTCCACACGGAGGAGCTCTACAGTATGGTTGTAAAGAAAATTGTGTGGTTGTAAAATTGATTGAAAGTGTCACAGAAATGTGTAGTATTGTCACTGCCAAGCGGAGAATGCAAACGATTGTAATCAGCCTACCGAACAACATAAACATTATTGTGCCCATTTTGTTCAAGTCGCGAAGATGTTTCGTTGTGTGCGAAGATTCTCTGATACATTTGGGGGCTGAAGTTGTCTAGCGAAACAAAGCTCACTTTGACAACACCATCCGTTCGATATTTGCTTTCTGGATGATTTCACATCAAATTGATGTGGTATTTCATTGTGTGGAAGGCTTTTGTTGAAGTATTTTTTTTACCTAAATACTGTAGTGCCTTTGTTCTCCCATAGTTGTTGAAAGGGTAGTTACGTGTATAATTTCATGGTATCGTATATGAATATTGCCAAGCAGAATATAATTGTTACTATTTTTGCTTTGATGTGATATACGGATACCAGAAACTGAAATAGTTTAGCGTAAGACGAATAGTAAATTCTTTGGTTTTTTTTTACTTGAATTCTTGAAATTGAGTTCCAGTTTCCAACATCTGAGTTCTAGTTTCCAACATTTGGGTTCTAGTTTCCAACATTAGGTGTTGCATACTGTGTGTGTTTCCATTTGGAAGATAGAGGTTTTTTTTGGGGGGGGGGGGAATTAATATCGTAACTTAATTAATAGTGTGCATGGTTTGTTGATATTTTCTGAGTAAATTTAATATTAAATGAATTAAAGTGTTGGGTTGATACGGTGATTACATCGATGGACGTCACATCTATTACAGCCCTTTCATGATTTTCATGTAGCTATGATTTTGACTGCAAGTACAACTTGGCACAGAATGTATGTTTGCATAGGAAGGTTAATGCTTTTCTATTCCTACATCCATGCTCATACACACTAGTATTGAGAGTCCCAAATGTTCAGACTAGGTCAAATCATAAGGGCTGGAACGCTAATATCTCATTATTTCATATATTAAAAAATAATAGCCGGTTGTCAGTATAGAAAGCTGCTCTTTAAATTAAACGAAGGGGAGGCGTTGGTATCGTCTACCCGTGCTTTCGCTTGTTCCTTTTCTATGAAACTAGGTTGCTTTATTATTTGTTTCCATGTTATGATCTGTGTAAATAGCAACAGGTGTAAATGAACGGATTCTGAGTTTCTGTCCTGGTGGTGACCTTCCATAAAAGTTGCTCCTTGGTGCGTATAATTCGTCGCCTCGTTGATCCCGGAACTAAAGTAATCTATATCCCTCAGCATTTAGACAGCTCGTATCAGGTGTATCCGTATTTGACTAAGAATTATTGAATTACATATAGGGGGTATCATCTCTAATAAGAGCATTCAGTCAGTTTGCTGTTTTCAGTTGCGCTGGCAAATTGGAGTCTTTGAGATCGTAAGTACACGCCAAAAATTCATCATCTTAAATTCTATTAACCGTCTATAAACTTTGCGGTTGATAAAATGTTTCATTAATATTATTTCCTAAGATTAAAATGGGTCACTGTATTTGAGTGAAAAGTCACTCCATCCGACGAAAACTAGGAGAAAGACGAGTGAATTTTTGTTCCAATTGAAAATATCGAGTTTTCACTCGAGTTCGGCTGAAGTGGTTCTTTTTGTGAAGTATTTTCTGCCGTAAATTTAGAGTAATATTTATTCTAAACAGTCAGGATTTTTAAGCTCTGGCAGGAACTTCTACATGTGACTTGGTGGTCGGTCTGTCTGTCTGTCTGTCTGCCTATTTGTCGGGCTGTCTATCTGTCTGTCCCGAAAAATGACTATATGGTGTTCCATATGTAACATCGGCGTCGCAGTTTTAAGCTCTGGCAGGAATCATTTTGACTGATTTCATGCAAGACTTCTCGCAACTCGCTTGAGTCTAACACGGCCAGAGCTTATTGTGCACCCGCACTTGATTTTTAGACAACAGACTCTGGTTCTTTTGGGAACCTCCATTCTTTTATCAAAATAATTGTCTCGACTATTAAAGCAATAGAGTTGGATTTGAACCACGACCTCCAACATGTATAGACATTTACACCATGCAGCAGATTTTGAAATTCGAGTCTCTCCCGAGTATTGTTTGAGAAGGTTTTTCCCTTTAAAGCCCAAAAAAGGAAATGGACAGATTATTTTTTTACATTACGTCAATGAGGGATAACAATTTAATTTAAAAACAAAATCTAATTGTGTTTTTAGTACGCATATGCTCAGTCCTGAACAGTTTGCTAAGAAATGTCGTCATCTTCACCTCTTTCTGGTCACGTGATCGATATGCTGATAGATGATGATGATTGACGGCCCTCCATGCGTGATAACGCAATCAGATATCTGTGTGCAGTTACGTAAATCCGTGTCAGCAAGAGGGGGGTGGGGGGGGGGGGGGGTTGACCAAAATCCCCCGGCTGTGGAAATTTGAAAATCGGGGAAGGGGGGAGGGAAACTCGATGAAAACAGGGAGCGCTGTTCTTGATACAAATGATCATCTAATGCAAACTTCCGCGCATACCTCCTTAAACTTTACATCAAACGGTGCTTTTGTACTGTTTGTCCTCCGTTTTTATTAATTTTGACTTTTGAAAAGTTACAAGATAACCTCAACATCTGTTGTTTTTTGTTTCTCGCCACAAAATTCTGAGGGAGAGGGATGATCCAGTGGCCCACCCCTGGGGGGTATATCCTCTCCATCCCACTGGGTTTACGCACATTATACTATATAGGCCTATGTCTGAGTGTGGAATGCCAGTTAGCCTATATATATAAATTTGAAAAATGTACCGAATTCAGGAACCCTGGACTTCGCCATTGTTTAGTCCTCATAAACGTCAGATCTAATCATGTTGGTTTGACGGAGCTGTTTGATTTGGCAAACATCCCTCTTTTGTGTTTCTCTCGTAATTCACAAATTGAGTGTTTGATGAACCCCCGGCCTAGTTTCTGTAGATATCTCGTATACAGGCCTACATTTATGTTCTTAGTTTACGTGAATTGAATAGGCCGAGGAATGCAAACACATTAGTCATGCGTCCCCCAGTAAAGAAAATCTCCCCGGATTGACAAGGCGACTTTTGTCTGCTTATCTCCAAATTATAAATGTACAAGAGAACAAAAGCGACCTAGAAATGACTGACCGTTATGATAGATTGTTTATCGGAATTGATAAATTCCATGTTTTTGCGCAACCAGGGTCGTTTTTAAGCGCATGTACTTTGCCAAATCTCGTCGACTCGTCACAAGAACTTCGTCCTGATTTTTGCCTACCCTGCCCTTCTTGCCGAAACTTTGTTTGAAAAGCGGACAAATAGCTACAATTTGTTCAGAGGTAAACGCCGCACTTCCGTCAATTCCTTGCCAGAGCTTTGTACCGATCACTCTGCCTTTCCCGTCGGAGTTCACCTCCAGCCTCGCAGTTGTAGCAGATTGAGATTTGATTGAATGGAATAATTTTAAAACTTTGTGAAGCCACTAGCAGGGACTCGGTCTCGGCATTTCTGGACTAGGACATTTCTAGGAAGAGGTAACAGAAGGCTATTATACCTTTAATATGGATTTATAGTCGCAACCAAATGCAACGGTTGTCGAATGTGGACGACGATGAGAGTTGTTGATGAGTGAGGAAAAGTAGACACTTAGTTGAAAACTAATCACGATATTAACGACGAAGGCGGTAATATTAGTATTTAAGCCGGTGACAACTGGGGCACGATAGAGTGCATTCGATGCAACAAGATACAATGTAGTTGATGAAGACACAACGACGAGAATTAATTTAGACGATCAAATGTAATCTGGGATGTCACGCCTATCGACTGTTGCAGGGAAAACAGACCGAAGCGTCTCTCTTGCGATTTACCCATTATCTCACACCGTCACTTACCCCTACCCATATTTCAAGTGTGAGGGGGTGTGTGGCCAAGTGGTTAGGGTTCATGAATCATGATCAGAGGGTCAGGGGTTCGAATCCAGCTGCTGGCCATATGTTGTGTCCTGGGCAAGCCACCTCACCCCCACTTGCCACTCTCTACCAGGAGTATTAATGGGTACCGGTATTAGCTGGGGAGTAACATGGGATGGACTGGCATCCCATCTAGGGGGATAGAAATATTCCCAGTCGTTTCATGCCAAGGAAACTGGAGATAAACGCCGGCCTGATGGGCCATATTGGCTCGTGATAAACTGTACTTTAAAAACAAACTATATTTCAAGTGTAATTTTTCTCCTTGCAAAGCTTCAAATCGTTCAACTTGTGACATGGTTAAGCTTTCAATGGTTGTGCTCGTCATAGCTAAAGATAGGTTTAATCTTATGAACATTTTGAGCGATATGACCCTTTTCTTCTCTTTGTAAATTGCAGCAGCGATCCGTTGGTAGAATGGAAGCGGCGGACCGGGCCGCATCCCTGCTGGTGTTCCACAGGGATCGTCTCAACAAGCTCCGGAACGGCATCTCGCGCGTCCTGGAGGCCTTCGCCGATGTGCTGGACGACAAAGGAGGAATTTCCGGTAACGAGCATGCCGAGGTTAAAAAGAAACTTCAAGAAATTGTAAGGCATCCACTATTTAAAATCTGTGCTATCAGTTTCACAAACTGTTCTAGTTATTTCAAGCAGAAGAATGGAACGTTTGCATGGTTGGGAAAACAGCTAGGTAGAAGTTTGCGGAGACACCATGTGAAATAAATCTCTTTTGTGAGTTTGTGATTGTTCCTCTCACAACCGGTTCTTCTCAGAACCATCACAAACTCGCAAAAGAGATTAACTTCACCTGGTGTTTCCGCAAACTTACCTTGTTGTTATTTCAATCAGTTTGTTGTTACGTATATGAAACAATAGTGTGTTGTCTTATATTGTGAAGTTTGCAGACGTTATTACAAATTTATCAAATGAAAACTTTAAAGTAGTCACTTTAAAGTTTCAATATAGGAATTAATTTTTATAATCAAGGCGTTAAATTGGCAATTGCATGATCTAATCTGAACTGTACATTCTTCCCAAACTATTTCCCCCTTCGTTAAATTCTGTGCGGCTACGTCAATGTGAAAAAAATACCGAATTGATGCAAGGGCGGATCCGGGGGGGGGGGGGGGCCAAAGGGGGCCATGCCCCCCCCCCCCAAAACGAAACCAATTTTTTTTTTTTTTTATGTGACATCGCAATAAAGGCAGGCAATGAGTACACCACCATCTTTTTCTCCAAAAAAAAACATTGGTTAAAGTGGTCAGAAATTGCCTCAGATCGCACCACAGAGCATCTAGAATCAAAAAAAAATTTCGGGGCCCTTAAGCGGGCCCCGAACCCCACGCCGTAATTTTTTGGACCCATTTTGGGAGGGACCAAATCTTTTTTTGCCCCCCCCCCCAAAATTGTGTTCTGGATCCGCCCTTGAATTGATGTGTACCGCTTTTACTGAAGCAAAATATTAAACAGTTTTCTTTAAACCCCTTATGTGTATAAAACATTGCTCTTGTAGTTGAAGTTACGAAAGCTTTTGCAAGGTTTTGCCTGTAACAGGTATAAGTGCTACGATTGAAATCTACTTGTATCTGCCTTGACAACTCGGTTGCCAATCACTGTCTTGAGAAATATGTAACCGTATACTTCGCTTTCTTGGGCTGTTAGGAGGACACTTCTTGGAGCCGCATCCGCGAGCATTTCTTGGACAGCCACGAACCGTCTGACGAACCTCGGGAAGGGCGGAACATTGCCAGAATCCTCCTGGACTTTACGGACAAATTGGATGATGTGAAGGATGCGCTTGACGACAGACTACGGGTGAGTAACTGCAGTCACAGAGTTTTAGTCTCATGACGACGAGCACGCCATACTGCTTGAAACGTTGACATTGTGCAGCTTCCTCCAAGAACCTAAAATCTTTCACAAAAGATTCTTTGGCACTAACCTATTACGTACCGCACAAACCTACGGACTTATCCTTGCTCGATAGAAGAAAATGAAATCCCCCCCCCCACAAAAAGGTCTCAGGGAATTTGGCAGGATAAGGTTGTTATTAGACCCTCTCTCGAAACCCTTGATGCGGTTTACAAAGCACCTCCAAAAGTTCACAAAGTGTCTTTCAGAGTTGTTTCAATATCAGTTGTCGGATGAGACTTGTATTTTGCCAGCATTTTTGTTTGAAGTTTATGGTAATGACAGTTCAAGAACAGTGCCGTATAACCAGGGTTTATGAGGGGGCACCTGTGGATGCACAGATTTTTTTTTTTTTTTTTTGGGGGGGGGCACTGAAGGCAAATTATGCATATATTCTTTTGTTCAATTCTTAAATGGGGAGGGGGACATCCGGGGGCACGGACATCCCCTGGGAGAACGTGCCCCCTCCCCCTCCCCCATGCCCCTCGTGGTTATTCCTCTGCTCAGGAATGAGGTGGAATTGGGTATCTTTACAAACACTTTCAACATCCATCAATCATTAATAGTAAAAAAAAAAAAATTCACCAAACGAACGTGCAATCCTATTTGTCCCGTGACTTGTGAGGCGAAAACGATCGATACCAAACTCAACTGACCGAAAGAACCCATTGGCAGTTTTACATTGAATCGCAGTTCGATAGTGTAAGAAGGAGGACTTGGAGAAGATAAAGTCTTTAAGGCATTCAACAGGAGGTTGAAGTAGTTCTGTTGTCGATGGCTGGAAGACTGTAATTCTAACCGCTTGCGTCATTTTTTGATTACAATCAAACGACATCCCACCGCCATAATTCGGCCGTTTGTGCCGCACGCTGATTGGCTACACGATTGCGATTGGTTTCCGCCCGTCAGAAACACTTCGCAGAAGTTGAAATGTTTCTACTCTTGCGACTGTTGATTATTTTGAGCGCCGACCGATGCCGATCGTCTTCATATTGTCGCTGTTACATTCAGTTAGCAAAAAAAAAATCAGCGACTAGTTTGTTTCCGATTGTCGTAGCTCAGGCGAAGATTCAGATACTGAAAAGTCAGTCGCCGACTGATCTGTGTCATCACGAGATCGACCAGAGGGCAGATTACAATCATCTGTCACTTTGCGGTCTATAACATCTGTTTCATGCACTTGTTGCCGTGTCATACACTATTGATGAGTTACATGTATGTGCCAATCAATAAATGTATTGCGGTTAACCAGCTGTTCTGTTTAGTCACATCATGCTGTTATGTTTAGTATTAAATTGAATGAGGATTGAATGAGGTTGCCAATCATTTAATGTATTGCGGTTCACCAGCTGTTCTATTTAGTCACATCCTGCTGTTATGTTTAGTATTGAATTGAATGAGGATTGAATGAGAAGTGTAATAGTGTCAAACGCACGTATAGAGCGACATATGGAAAAGGTGAAATTTGGATACATTAGCATTGATTGGCACACGATTCGTCCTTTGTCAACATTGATTGACATTTTCTCGGCCTCTAAATTGGATATTTAAGACCATTGATGATGGCTTTTTGTCCTTTACATGTACATGTATACAATGTGGAAATAGGTTTCGATCGGATAAGACCAATGCATCTCCAAATCGGGGCATCTGCATTTTGTTGTATAATCGTATCGGTAAACGCACTGATATAATCAGGGTTGGAGCGGTATGGCCGTGAAATACTCATATTCATGCGCTTAATTGTTCAGCCTCGGCCAGTTTATATCACCGCTGGCTGCCGTACGATATATTTCATGTTGTGGAGCATCATATTCTCTTCTCGTGTTTTTTTTAGAGTTATGTCTTATATTTAACTGTGTTCTTTTTCTTATTAAGGAATTAGCCCAGAAGAAGGAATCGAAACTCCAGCTGGATGTAAAAGATTTACAGAGTACGTTTATCAAATATCACTTAATTAATCGTTTTCTTCAATAGTTGTTTTTTTTTCATCTTCAGCGACCTTAAATAAAACAAAAATAAAACAAAAACAAAATTGAATTTACTTCTCGATGCAAATTATTATCATAATGTGCTATTTTCTTTACTCGAAATGGTTTTAAACACCACCATTTATGTGCTTAACTATTCTACGAAAAGTGGGAATGTTAAAAAAAAAGGTCATAAAAGACAACAGCAAACTCTTCTTGTCGCATTGGGATTAAATAGCTGTAACATGTTGCACTTTACAACTGCATAATGCGTTAATATTTCTTTTTTTACATGATTTGGCCTCGAAATCTATGGTCGGGGTTTTGTGCTCCTTTAACTATTTTCGTATTATTTCCAGACTTGCTGATCACATTCAGGAAAATAATGAGTGTAATATGTATTTTGTTTGTTTTCAACAGAAAAGTTAGCGGAGGAGAAGACAAAGACTGCCGACCTGCGATGGAAACACCAGGAGCTTGCCGAGTCGTCTAGCTCCGAGAAACACTTCAAAGGAGTGCTGCAACAGCAGCTGAAGGAAAAACAAGACATCATAGCTCAGTAAGTACTGTGAGCTCAGAGTAGGTGTGTATAGGAATTTCGCTGCGGCTTAGAAACTGCTGATCCCAAAGCACGGCCAAAGACCCAGGAAGGTTTTTGGAAACTTGCAGCAAATCCTCAGATATTTATTTTTTAAATTTCACCATTCACGATTACTTCACCATTTTTCTTTATCTTCAGAGACAAAATTCAGAGTTTAGAGTTTTCTATTCATAGTTTCAATTGTCTTTAACCACATGTAAAGACTCAAATAGAGTGCCTGCCTAAAGTTCGTATATATACAGCCGTCATAACTGTTTGGTAAATATCTTGATAACTCCTTCCTCGGACAGGTTACAAAGAAATGGAACAGTCCAGCTCTGGGAGAAAGAGAAGGCTAAGCTGCTGGAGGGCAGCAGACAGCGAGAGGAGAACCTCACACGAGAATTGACGCAGCTACGGGCGGCTCACGAGGATATGAAAGATCGCCTCAATCGACGAATCAAAGTTAGTCAACTATGGTTGGCAATTGGGAAAAAAATACTTAACTAACTGAATGCTTTCAACAATATCGATACTGTACTGCTTTGTCTTGCTTTCACTTCGCGCGCAGTTACAGTTGGCCCTATTCTCTTTTGTTAGTCATAGTAAATTGTATTGTTTTTATTTAATTTAAGACCGCGCCGCAGACGAGACTTGTAATATTTTTCTTTGTAATTGTTTTTGTAATAAAAGTATTTTTGTCAATCTTTTTTAAAGGACCTTGAGGAGAAAGTAAGATTAGAACGAATGAAGGACATCGTCAGCAAACTTGCTTCCAAGGACGGTACGAATTGTAAAGTTTCACATTTTGAAATTTCTTCAAGTAGGATTAAATCACTGCATCGCTTTAAATTTGCATGACTAAGAATCGTTAGTGTTGACCCTTCAAAAGTCTGAAGGGATTTGTAATATACACAATTTGAAGGGTATAAAAACAATTTTGACTTGACAATATGCATCAGAATTAAATATTTTTATAACTTTTTCGGATCTCATTTAATTTGTCTAATTGTTTTCAGAGATGGAAGCCGATGTGGAATCTCTGAAGCGACAGCTTTACACCAAGGAAGTCGACCTGGCTAGGTTGGACCAGGAACTGATCAATCAACAGAGGCTCATTGTGGGGTGCATCAAAGGAATTCAGAGGGACTTTAGGTTAGTGTACATACGTAGTGGTTTCCAACTTTACAAATGTTCGCGAAGTTTTCAGTAAAGCATGCATGGGAAAAACCTAGTAGATCAATAATGTTGCACACAAACTAACAAGGGTCATGCGGGTCCGTTGCATTTGTGATTGACTGTACTTCTTGACTTTTTCCAGAATTTCCTTCTTTAGTTTTTTTCAGTCTTTCTGTATAAGTCGCTCTTCTAAGAACTCTGAGTAGAAATGTCTGCACTTGTAAATTTATTCAACACATAATTCCTAATCTACAGACATAGACCTACAAAATAAATAATGTCCTCCTGTCCCCCAAAGAAACTAAATACATTTTGCTCTTGATCTGTGCTTCGTTTGTTTACAATTTGTCAATGACATTCCAGCACAAATTGTTTTATTGGTTTTTTTATTATTATTATGTGATTAAAGACTCCTTTGTTGATTTGTTCAGGGTGATGGGAGAGAGGCAGGAAGGACGGAGACTGAGGAAGGATGACATGCAGAAGATGAACTTGATACTGGACGCCATCTTGACAGGGGCTAAAGAGGCACGGTTAGACATCACCAAAGCAGACCTGCCGCTTCATTACATTGCTCTCCCAGAGGTAAAAGCTGCGTGATTTTGCTAGACAAAATGAAGGCGGTGTATAACCAACAACTTTGAGCAAGCCTTGCGAACTATATAATAGACTAACTTCTGTCGAACTAAAGCTAGTCAACCGTTGTTCGACTATATTGTGGTCGAACATTCAGTACTGGCCTGCCGAGGCCAGTGGCATCGCTGGTTAATGATGTCATAATGTGACGTGATGTCGTTTAAACAAATAACGCTCGCACGTTTCTGTTGATGCACATGCGTAGATCATGGCATGAAAATCTTCCTGTTTAAGCAGGAATTCCTTTTTTTTTTTTGCTCAAATGTCCGCGTTTTTATTTATTTTGAGCCTGTTTTGGGGTATTTTTTTGCCTGATTTCACATCTTTTTTCCTGCTTTTTTTCCCCACCAGTTTCCTGTTCTTTTTATTGAAATTCATTCTCATGCCTGGTAGATCACGAATCAAACACTAGTCGACGAAAAAGTCCTCGATCGAAACGTCCCATACAGACAAGACACTGAAACCACTAAGAGATAAACAAGGCCTATGAATGTACTGTGGAGTTTCGCTGTAGCTTTAATAATGTAATTGAATGAACAATTTTATCTTTTTTGGCAGGATATCGTGGCACATCCAGTCAAACGAATGACAAGGCCGAGGTAAGGGTTCAAAAATGTGTTAAAAAGCCAGTTTAATTCCTTTTTAATTAACATACGTACATCTGTTTTCAACTTTTTATTTTGTTCGGGCGATCTAATGTAATGGTATTTTCTTTAAATTAATGTCCAAGCATACTTGCTCCTGTCGTCAATCGCCATCTTGAAACAATAGGAGATTCCCCCAGTACGTCACCAACCTCCAGTCCCCCGGATAGCCCCTCCCAACCCCAACGTCGCGTCCCGTCCCTTGAGCTCCCCCACCCGAGCTCCAGCCCCGCCCTATCATCCCTGGGCCGGGCCTCGACGGTGCCGCTCATCGAGACCCCGCCAGCCAACGGACAGTCATCAGCAACGGGAGCAGCCAACAGGAGGGCGCCGTCCGGCAGGGCCAAGATCTCTGTAGATGAGGTCGGTCTCATCACCAAGTCCCCGCGTGGTGGCTCCCAGAAAGCCCCGAACCCTAACACGAACACCTCCGCACGTAGCCCGAACGTCGCCCGAAAGCTCCGAACCACTTCGGTCTCGGAGTCCTCGCGGAGTCCGTCGTTACGACGGCGGGCAGTATCATCGCCCGTGCCACCAGACCTGGCCGCCCTTGTCAAACCTCCTGCTTCCCTGAGTCCCAGGGAAACGTCTGGGTCCACACTCGTCCCTCGTCAGCCGTCAAGGAGTCCGAGTCCCGGAGGACGGAACGGCATGGCGTCTGCGAGGAAACCACGGGGGTCGGGTAAGCTTCAGGCCAGTAACGGGAACAAGGACATCTCTAAGGAAAATGACAACCCTGCCCAAGACAGCAAGCCCAAGCCGAAGAGTACCCTGACTGGGCATGGGGAATTAAATCTCGAGAAAGGTATCCGACTAAGCTTCCACTTTTTTGTTTAGATTTCAGTGTTTCTAATTGCTCATATATTTACTCTCTCGATTGCAGTGTGTTTAAAAAAAAATCAGCAGCCGCATTAAAAAATGCAATTCATCCTTAACACCGCTTAATATTGATGTTATTGTTCAGTGGATTTGTTGGTTTTCATAACATACATTGTATTGTATTGCTCGTTGCTTGTTTGAGGCACAACTTTTTTTTTAAATTTGCGATCTTTTGCTATGAGCCGTACAATTAGATACATGTACTTTCAAAAAAATATCCACCAAAACAAAAAACAAATCACTGACAGAACCGTGCCATTTCAAAGATCACATTCATGGGTTTGGGCCCTATCGCTCAGCATGAAATAACATAAAGGGCATATGTTGAAATAATTGGTTTCGTGTCTGAAGTGACATGACTGTCTTTACCAAAAATATATCAATTGAATTTAACCGCAGCTTTTTGTACATTCCAATTGATAGGACAAATAGACAGAAGCCATTTCTCATTTTATTCCATCTGGTTACGCTATCCTCGCTTTCATGATCGCAGTTCTCCGATACTTCCACATACTGCAGTATGGTCGTTTGATTCCATAACTCCTCGGAAATACCAATTTAAATATTCATTGGGAAACCTGATTTGATTATAGTGCCACTTGCCTCCGTTTGCTGAGTGCAGTATTGTATCATATTCACATCGGTGACCCTAACGTATTTACTGGGATGATACGATTGTAGTTTATGCATCGCAATGGCAAGCAGTGCGGTAAATCTGAAATACTCTTATGTGTACATGTTTGTGTGTATACTGCATCGCTTGAAAAGCAGCTATAATGGTTATAAAGATCTAAGCTTATGTTTTACTTTCAAGTTTTGAAAAGCACATACAAATTCTGGGTTCTTAACACAAAAACTGATTTGTTTTATCATTGCAAACTTGGCTGTTGGTTGCGATGACGATCAGCAGGTGTTAAACATTTTCACCAGACAAATTATATTGGCGATGTAGTATTATTTATAGTACAACCTTACCCTTTAAAGGAAAGTACAAATACGCAAACGTGTTTCCCACAAAAGTAATGATTACATTTTCTATGCAACTGTGTCCAGAGCAAATTGCTTTTGACAAATGAGCCTTTCCATCAGATGAAATTACAGCGTGTTGACAAATGATGAAGATTTTTTTTTTTCAGAACGGCAAGATTGACTCGAAATGTAGTGCTAAACGTTGGTTGCTTTGCTTATTGTCATCAATGCGCATGAACGGTGCATGTCTAGCAAAGTGTGTTTTTGTAATGTTTTTATGTGATGTCTAACATTTAAAATATGTGCATCATCATCTTTGTTTTCTCATTGCTCGTGCTCTATGGTGAGCTTATTTATTGTTGCTTGGTATTTTATGTTTCTAATGTTACCTCTCCCCATGTTGCTTTTGTGGTGTCGTTGCTGCGTACTCACGTCAATTTGAAAAAAAAAACCCGCAGGAAACCAGCGAGGGACCCCTTTCAGCTTGAATGCCGCTCATTTTTTCAGGAAAGGTTTGGAGCTTTGCTTTTTCATCCAAAGTTGTGGTCACGTCATATGTTAATCACAAGTGACCGTCTCAAGTCCAGAGACATTCTATTCGAGTGAACTGTGGCATAAACATTAATTTTCTGTTACCTCTAGCCAGACTTGTGATTAAAAAATGTTGCTGACTTGTGATTGACTTGCGATTGGCTTGTGATTAACTTGTAACTAAACTTGTAACTGACTTGTGATTGACTTGTTAGTGCCTTGTGATTGACTTGTCATGACCTGATATTTACTTGTTAGTGACTCGATTACACTTTTGTCTATTTTGTAACTGTAATATAATTCAATAGCATTTCAAGCATGAAAGCAATATAGATTCCATGCTTATCATTGCAAGTGAGTGTTCGTGTTTCTTGCGTACGTTGTAACAATGTATGTCAATGATACATAAAGAGTTTCTAATCAACAACATGCAAGCAATATGATGCTATGAAAAGTCCCCCGACTTTATTGTTTTTTCGACATTAATAAAGGCATATTAGAGACTCTACATAGCAGTATTCTGACTAGTTTGTGCTCATTTGAAAGAAAACACTGAAGTCTTGATTTCGGTACAAATACATGATAACATGTTGAATATTGTCCATTTCTTATAAACATTAAAACTCGAGCGCTCTCTTTTGTTGAGATGATTAGAAAAAGTCCTCACTTCATAAAATGGTTTACCAATGAGGGCCTCGGTTTTAATGCTAACTTGAAATTCCTCTATTGACTGCAGTTAAAAGCATGTTCCTTTTATTCAACAGACCATCCAGCACTAATCGACAAAGAGACGGGGATGCTGGACGCCGCGACAGCACGCACCTGCTTCCCACACATCTCGGAAGAGCAGGTAAAAGGGCCAGAAATCGTGAGAAATTCTGTCTGTTAAAGATGCACTGCCGATATCTTTGCATTGCGAAGCGGTGCTGTGGTTTTCATAAATGAGTTGTTGACAGATTATCTTTAAAAATGTCCATGCACTGTTTACGATAGGAAGAGGTTCTCTGAGTGCAGGAATTCAAATATTTCAGGCTTAGTTTTCAAACATACAAAACATAAATAGTATACAGCAGATTGGTGATTTGATTGTTCAGTTTGATGATAAAAGCATGAAATTAGGCACACATTCAGAGTATGTCACGGGAAACATATTTGGCTAAAGGGCTATCGCAAGCAATTTCCAAAATTTTCAAAATGGCGGCCATTGCATGTTATTCTTTGATATTTTTTTTTTCAAAGGACAAATCTGAGATGGCCCTATGGCAAAATATATTTCTCATGACATATTCTGACTGTGTGCCAAATTTCATGCTTTTATCATCAAATGAACAATTCCATCATATTGTGCACCAATCTGCCTGACTGAAACGCATGATTACATCTAAAGTGTGAGGCTTAATGCCATTTCTTTTGCAAATGTATGCCCCGTAGTTATAAATAATCACCGTTTTCAAGATTTTGATTGGAACCAGTTTCGTCTTATACAATATTTTCATGCAACACGCTTCCGTATTTATTAGTGTTGGTACAGAGATAAATCAGTCGTCAATTACGATAATATCTCTTTTATTTCTCCAAGATACGGGAACACTACCAGCAGTTCAAGAAGTACGACACGAATGGAGACTACAGTCTTGATTTTATGGAGATGACACAGGCGATCCAGTCTACGGTAGCCGATTACTACAAGCCAAGACAAATTAAGGTAAACTTTGCTAACGTTTAAAGGAAAGCTTAAACTTATACAGGTTGAGTAAAACAGGAAACCCTAATGGCAGGACCTATTTGACAATGAAGTTCTGCATGTAGCACTTTCAAAATCTGGGATATGAAAGCCCAAGAAATAAGATTTCTTTTATAGTACACGAATCATTCAAATCACTCATGTACTTTTCAAGTTACGAAATTTTAAACGCAAACACCGTTTTAAAGTTCTGTCCAGGGATAACAAAAAAGGTAACTGTTCTTTCAGCAAAACGAAAACGGTTCACATAGGGATGTATGTGACAATCTGATGCACTGATATCACTTACTGAGTAAATCCCATTGGAATTGGTGAAACCCAATAGCCTTTTACAATCTATTATATCTCTGGTTTGCATGAACGAATTTCCATGGCATTTTCACTGATTATACACAAGAGTATAATTAATATGCTCCATCAAGATGGAATACTCATGTTAAGTTGTTTTTGAGAAATTAAAGGATATCTACTTGCACAACCTTGCTTGAGACACCCTTGTTTTTTATCAGCTGTGGGCAACTGGTGAATTATGTACGGTAATAAGTTTAATGTGTTTTCGGTTGCACAGGAGGCAATGGTGGAAGTCGACGTGGATCAGTCTGGCTCCGTGGACTTCTACGAGTACCTAGGCGTCTCCACCATGCTGATGATGAAGATAGGCAAATCGGAAATCTTCCGCAGCAGCATGGTCAAACACGCCGGGGGATCCATATCAAAAGTCTGCTCAATACAGTGAAGATGATGACTCTGCCAGAATAGAACAGCATTACAATAAGCCTTTTCGGAGTTCCAACTGCGCATTCATAACCTGTGACAACGCGCATTGTTTGTCTCAAATGGCCTTTGACATCATCGCGCCACTGACTTTACAAAAAGGCTGTTTGTGCATTGTGGGTACTGTCAAAGGGCATTTGAGACAAATAATGTGCGTTGTCACAGGTTACGAATGCGCGCAGTTGGAACTCCGAAAAGGCTTATACCCCTTTAGACAAATTCCCAATAAGCATTGGAACCGAGGCAACAGTGCTATCTTGTGTTGAGAGGACTAAAAAAAGAAGAGGCCCTCAATGCATACAGTGACTTAGCACTGAGAGCCGCGGTTTCCATGCTAATTTGAAATTCGTCTATAGACCATGTGCAACTTGAATTGAGCTGCTCAGCACAGGAATCTGCTAATCACGGAAACATGCTTAGAAAGGCAGGTTACCAACGAAACAATCGTGTAATTTGTATTACATGTACTGGTTCTCGGGTATTTTCTGCTTATTAACTCCATCAATTTATTGGCCCATATATATTTCACATTCATGAAAAATAGTGTTTAGCAAATTTATACATATACGCTGAGCAAAAATCAGCTGATAACCAATTACCGTGCAACTATTCCTAAGATGGAACTTTTGCGTCGGGGTGATGTAAATCAATGTTGGGTTTTGCCCTTCACCGACGTATAAACACTGATTACTCAGTGTGTTACCTCCCGAGAGAAAATTGTGTAAGCTCGGTGGTCGAGTGGTAAGACGTCTGCACTAGAAAGCAGGAGGTCGTGGATTCGAGTCCCACCCGAGTGGACATCAAGCCGCGGGATAATCCGGTTAAAGGAAATGGCATATCTGTTGTGGTGTTATCAAGATTATACTGTATTTTTAAAGGCGTGCCAATGTTTATTAATGGTTGAACTGCATTTCCGGTGTTGGTTATTTTGTTTTGTCTTGATCGAGTATTGTTCTGTTTTCTACTATGCTCACCATACAAGAAATGTTTTCAATCAGCTTATGGTAAATTTTATACACAGATTGAATAGTATTAGTGTAAATGAGTGGCTACGTAAAGATTGTGTTATTTTACACAAAGTGTTCCCCTCATTTTGGCTGAGAAGTCTGTCAGAGCATTTTTTACACACTCAGGCAGAATGTTTTTGTGTGTGTCATGATCCAGATGTAATTGAACAATCAAATCTTATGTTTGCGATAACCCAAATATTTTTTTTTGTAATGAATTAGGTGAAGTGTGTCTCTTAGAGTGTCATTTCTAAACCTGAATTTCTCTTTGCGGATGGAAAAAAAACTTTACTCTATCATGCACATCTACCGAACGCATTTGCTCCATTTTCATTATTAAAAGAGCGTTCCCTTCGTAGTACTGAAACTAAATTCGTGATGGTTGCTTGTAACCAGTTCACTGAGTGTTGAGTATTGTTTTTCCCCCAAAAGTGAAGCATGTAAATATATATTAAATTCAAGCACATCTCATTGCAATTTGCGATCCCGTTGAAATGAAGGGGTTGGTGTGAAACCTCCTTAATGATGAATGGTGCACAATTTAGAAACACATTTTAAGGAAAATGCTATTTTGAGGCGGTGAAAAAAAATACGGTTAAATATTGTGTCCATGTATGAAACGAGGGCAGAGATTTAAAAAAAATACTTCATGTTTATTTTGTGAAGCAGATTTTAATTTCTTTTGATAAACTTAATTTTGTATTAAAAAGTATCAAAGATTTCTTTGAAGCAGCATATCATACACACGGCCTGAGTGATCGAAAACAAAGCTTGGTGTCCGGGGCAGCATTATATCTGTTCACAGCATTATTTGGCAAGCTAAAGACTGTTGAGTGTGTATTTATTAGGTTCGAACGCTGGAGTAAAAGAATAATACTATGATACAGTTACAACTTCAAATACCATTCGTATCATTATTAGTTGTGTGTACCGGTAGGTTGATTTTACCGGTTCACCAGATCATCGGGCCATCGTACCGAGTTGTGTGCTGAACATTCGGGCCGATCTGACCGTAAAACGGGCGACCGAATGAAACCATACATCATTGATTGTTTGCGTCCGATTTCACCGGATCCAAATGCACCGGACGCAACTTTTTAACCAATCAGATTCATGAAGGAAGTCACATGGTTGTCATCATATGACTGGTCATCTGTGACTGATCATCATGTGACCCATCGGAATTGGGCATGCGCAATGGTAACGTAGCGGTCTAACCGTGTACCGGTGATGGAGTGATCCGGGAAACCGGTAAAATCGGGAATGTGTGTGCGGGCTTTAGTGTTTGATTGAACAAAATGTCTGCCTGCTAGCTCGCACCAGCACTTTGGAGTTCGTTCAGAATATACTACCAGTATAATTCCTTCTCATTTTGGTCATTGTCTCTGGTCATCCATGCGTTTGATGACCCTGTTCAGGGTAGTTAGTTAACTACAATGTGCTGGTATCTAATCAGCAATGTTTTTATGCTGCTCTTAAGCTTTTGCTTGTAAAACAAACAAACATTGACTTAAGTTTTGAAAAGTGAGGTTCACATTGCTCGGCAAGGTCATTTCGTTGTCACGAGGAAATTGTCCAATAAACCACTCTGAGAGCAAACAACAAAGCAATACTCAGAAAGTGAAATGTCGAACTAAAAATGTATTTCATATTTCAATTTAAAATGACATTTGTTATATATAACTGTATTGTTTAAAGTATAAACATTATATATATATTACAATTCAGAAACGTGACATCTTGGAATGTATACGATATATTACTCAAAACGTGACAAGGGGCATATGTGTCGGTCAACTAAAATACTGTCCTCTTTTTGTGCAGTGATGCGTGACTGAAATGAAATAAAACACATTAGGTGTTTAGGTGTTTAGGCCAAAGAAATGGAGTATTTGCAAAATTCAAACATTTTCAAAATTGACTTCATGGTTTTGTAATTATTTAAAAAATAGACCGATTTTTTTTTTTTTTTTGGGGGGGGGGGACATACTGTATGTACGCATCTTTCATGACAGTGCATAGTAGGCTACTGGCACTGTCAGTGGTTTAATTACATTACATATTAGAAGCAGTATGCACGTATAACACAACCTGAAAAAGATAATATAACACAACATGAAATAGATGTTTATTCGTAAATATATATACACAATACTATTTAAATACATGCACCTTTACGATACTGCTCCCACGTAATACCAGTGCAAAGTAGCTCATATGTATCCCTTGAAATGTACACAATATTTTTCAGATCTAGGTCTATATGCATTGCACGGTCTGTGTCTGCCATCCTTGATGCCATTAACATAAAACAGAATCGCAAAATCCAATGGGGAGGCCCAGATGTCACATCGACGGATAATAATGAGCTCCGCACACACAGCTGTGCACTTGTGTGTGAATTTCCTATTATAGTTACACCTGTTAAGTTTAGGCAAAGGGATTATGTGTGGCTTGTGTGATGACCGTGACTTTGGTTGGAAGCACCCGATCTCATCATCATTCAATATGCCGATTGATTGTGGCGAATTAGCTTTCCTACAGACAAAGGCCGTGGATTATTTTAATTAAAATTAATTGTAGTCGATATATTTGGAGGCAGTGCATATGCCGACGTTGAATAGGCAAGATATAATCAACCATTAGACCACACGTCTGAATCACATTGTGGCTGAGTTTAAAACATCTGATCGGTGCGTATGAAACAACATGAATAAGATATTACATTTGTAAACTTAGAGAATATATCAGAAAGAGGTTAAGATTATTGGTTTTTTTTTTGCAATTTCCCCATGATGTCCATTACAGTAAGATTATTTTAACCAGGCTTTAAGAAGCAAAACCAGTTGTTCTTAGTTCTGCTAACAAAGGATATGTACGCCCATGCTCACAATTCTGGAATAGTAATCATCATGTACGAAAGTGCACAATCCAAAATTCCTTGTAAAACGTGAAAACGCTCGTTGTAATCACAATATTGCAATATTTAAAAACAAATGAAAAAATGCTTATGGCGAGCTAGGTCGTGAAATTGGACTTACATCTGGCCTTCGGTATATCAAAACTCTTTTTGCTTATTGCACAATTTCATAAGGCGTAATTTCTCGTCCGTGACGACTACAACTGCAACCTGATCGCTTCCCGAGACTGAGGTTTCAGCAATGCTGGTTTGATATTCGATATTCGATACTACATACGTTTCTACAGTGAATGTGAGAGTTTTAGCTTGATATTCGGTATCGTACATTCGAATATGACTGTTTTCATCCTCCCATGGACTTAATACACGGTTAATCTGCCTGCACCGTGAAGTTAAAATAGCTCATAATGTAAACGGGAAAATATTTGGGGGAATTGTACCTTTGATGATACAAACATGGCATTTGGCACAAAGAGTATGTCATGAGAAAGATATTTGGCTACAGGGCCATCGCATATTTGTCCTTTGAAAAAAGGTAGAGATCGAAACAAGCAATTTTCCTTTTTTTTTTTTAAATGGCAGCCATTGCTTGTTATTCTACCTATAATTTTTCAAAGGACAAATCTGTGATGGCCCTATAGCCAAATATCTATCTCATACTAATACTATGATTGTGTGCCAAGTACGCCATGCTTGCATCATCAAAGGTACAATCCCATCACCTATCTTCTCTACTAATTCGTGTATACAAAGACGAAAAAAAAACTCACATAGAAAATGCGTCCAATATCAAAGAAAGTTTTATGTCATATTTCATGGCGTGGATTTCTCGCTCAGTCGACCGAAGTCTAGCGGGTACCGCTCCGGTAGGCTCTCCCGCACGGACTGGACGGCGCACCAGTCCACGCGTAACTGGTCCACGATGTCTGCCATCTTGTTGTCGAGTCGGCCTGGGCTTTGGTACTGCGCGTCTCGCACCGTCTGGAAGGCGTCCGCTATCCGCTCCACGGAATCCCTGAGGTGGTTGAGGTTGGCTTCCATGGTGTATCGGTCCTCCTTGGCCACTGAGAAGTCGCTGGAGATTTTCAGGATGGCCCTCGATTCCTAGATCGAAAGACATGATTTATTGAATGAGGTTTGTTGGTACGAAGGTACGAAGAGCAGAAAATAGTGCATAAACAAATCAGCTTGGAATCACCCACGAGAAATACAGATCGCATGATTACTTTGCTCGTGGTAACCCGGTTGGCTAGCACAATTCCTTGCTAGGCACGTAAAAGTGTGGGGGAACTATCACTATAAAAAGACTCGTCATATAGACACACATAGGTGATGGGTTGTGCCTTTGATGATGCAAGGGAGGCATTTGCACACGGTCAGAGAATGTTATGAGAAAATATTGGCTATTTTGACAGTTTTGAAAATTGCTTGTTATTCTACCTACATCTTTTTTCAAAGGACAAATCTGCGATGATCCTACAGCAACTATACCTTTTTTGAGACATACTCTGACTGTGTGCCAAATGCCATATCATCAAAGGCACAATTCCCCTAATATTTCTCCTATATGCCCCACTAGTATGGTTTTGGAAAGTGGAAGTTATAGAGTGGTTTGTCAGTATGGGCACACAGTGAAAAACGACTCTACTCCTTATGAAATCAGGCAATGTTACCACCAATCTGTAGGCCTATTTGAGTTGGCTTTGAGAGATACATGTAAGTGAATTTTATATTCAACGAACCGTTAGAATTGGCGTATAGTGAGACTTTATTGCCAACTGTGACAGCACACTTACATTTTCCATAATCTGAAACAACTCTGGGAAGGTCTTCTTCACCGCGGCGTCAGTATCTGGTCTCTTTTCAAGACGCCGATACAGCCGCTCCTGAAGAACGATCAGTGGGGCAATGGCTCTGAGCAGCCTTCCAAGCCTGTAGTGCCGAGTAACGGCTGCAAGGGTGGGCTTGGTCTCCACAGCCTCTTCGCAACTGTTGCTGTTGGTCTCTGTCTTGGTGGCACATGTTGCTTCCTGGTGGTTCTTTAGGCAGATGGCCAAGGATACCGAAGACTCGTACAGACGCTTGGGGGCGGGTCTCAGGGACTGCACGAAGGCTCCGTTTTGTGACATCTCTACACAGAAAGAAAGTAACAAAGTATTCACGTTAAGACTTGAAGGTGAGAAGTGAGGTTTGAAATAAAAAAGGAAGCTTGTTTTGACGCTTGTATTTGAGTTAAGAACGTTTCGTTGGAAGCTTTGACGTCACTGCGACCCGAAATGTTGACTAAGCTGTTGATTGATCAATATGGATGCCGAGTTTTTGTAATACCACAGCGGGTTACCGAAGACCCGATAGAAGGCGCCTGCTGAATGGTCAGAATCTTGAGGTCAAGACGCAGTCTTGGTTTGCATAATTAATCGCCGAATCTGCGCGAATATCATAGACGCTTGTC